AGACACTCTTCTCAGCTGATACTCCGGACAGGAAGGTCATCCACTTGCTACAGATTAGAAAATTGAGGCTCGGTGAACTGGATTTGGAAGGCCATCCATGGCGGCCCTTCCATCGTATCATGGGGTTTAGGTAAGGACTTGAGAACTTTCTTTTTAGGAGGACAATTGGGCTGATAGAAAACCTCAGTGACAGCTTCCTGGTGACACAGAACGGTGGGAATGGAACATCTGACATCTGTGAGCTTCAGGGAGTGCTGGCACTGCTTCTCAGAATCCTGGTAGTAGTCCTACTATTCTCCCATTTTACAAGTGAGGAAACTGAGGCTTACAGAGGTGGATGACTTGCTCGAGGTCACACAGCACAGCGAGGACGTGTAAAGGCCGAGGATTCAAACCCTTAAATTCTGCCCTGAGCTTTCTCTGGGCAAAAGCAAGTCATCAAAACATAAATGCTGGTTGGGTCGAGACCGGTTTGGCTCAGTGGATAGAGCATTGGCCTGCAGACTGAAAGGTCCCGGGGTTCGATTCTGGTGAAGGGCATGTACCTTGGTTGCGGGCACATCCCCACTAGGGGGTGTGCAAGAGGCAGCTGGTCGATGTTTCTCATCGATGTTTCTAACTCTCTATCCCTTTCAATTCCTCTCTATGTAAAATCAATAAAATATATTAAAAAAACCAAAACAACAACAACAAAAAAACATAAATGCTGAAATGTCCAAGTGGAACCTCACTCCCGGACCAGGAATTCCAGGAGCTGTGAGACTGTGCTCCCAAGACAACCTGGGAAATCTCTGGAGAAAAATCAAGCAGAGGAAGGGCCAACTTGTGAGGTGCCCTTCCTGGGGTCTGAGGGACGTGGTTGGTGCCAGATTCATCACGGAGCTACAATTCCTGAGAGTCAGTCTCAGGGCTTTGAGCATGGGGTTGGGGGGAAATAGGAATGACGTGTGTGCATGTGCCTATATATGTGTCTTTGAACCTGCAGGTGCACGTGTGCACAACTATGTGTGCACATATTTGCATGCATGTCTGTGTGCATGTGTCTTTGAGCCCACACACGCACACATGTATCTTTGAGTATGTGCATGTTTATGTGCATGGATGTGTGCGCGCATGGGTGTCTGTGTACATCCTTGAGCATACATGTGCACACACATATCTTTGTGTCTGCATGTGTGTATATACAAGTTTGTGTACCCATATCTGTGTCTTTGAGCCTGTGCATACATGTGTTTGTATATGTGTGTGAATGTATGTGCATGCATAGCTGTATGTACACAAGCATGTGCTGCAAGTGTGCATGTGCTTCAAAACCAGATGAGACCAATGGGAGATCCTTGAGAATACAGGTGTGGAGTCGGACTGGCTTGGGCCTCATTTTCTCCATTGGGAAATGGGCTGGCTTTTGCTGGATTCAAGGATTAATGTACAGAGAGGCCATTGACTATCAGATGTCAGTTTATAGTCTGTGCTATAGGCTCTGAAGTTGACATCTGTCGTCTCCTTTGATTTTGAAAGCAAACCCAAGGCTGAGTTTATCATCCACAATATTTTATCATTCTAAAATCATAGAAGCAAAGATGTCAAACCACACAGAAATGTGAGAGGTAAACAGTGAAAATTCCACCCTTGGCCGTGGTTTGTGGTCCAGTGCTTCTCAGGGGCTACGGCTCCCATCATGCCCCAGGCAGGCACAGCTGGGAAAAACAGGAGCTGTGACAGTGTCATTCCCTACCCCCTGTTCCCAAGTTGGACTGCACAGGCATGCTGGGGAGGGAGAGCCCTTTGGCCCCAGAAATGACACTTCCAGGGCTTTATTTACAGTGTTGTAGGGTAGAGGGACCAATCCTTTAGAACACATGTGTCAAACACAAGGCCCGCGGGCCAAATCCGTCCCGCCAGGCCTTGCAATGTGGCCCGCACCGCGCTGTCATCACTGCACTCCGCTGCGTTTCCATCACAATGACAGTTTATGACTGTTCAGTAAACCATTCGGCCCGCGATTTAGGCTGGATTTTAGATTTTGGCCCCTTCTCTGATTGAGTTCGACACCCCTACTTTAGAACATTTGTTAGATAAAGGACAGTCTATGGCAAAACAATTTATTGAGGGGAAATTTTTAAGTAAAAAAAAAAGCAACAGAGTAGCATGTGCAGTGTAGTTTGCATCTTTAAGGTCATCTCTGAAATGTGCCTGCTGATAATCTACATGTAGGGACCTGAGATGTGGGTGCTGCAGGCCGGGTAAACAGAAGCCGTATCTGTACCTTTGGATTCTGGCCAGTTATTTATTCACAAATAGCACCTGAACATTTACTCACATGGAAAGACTGCTGAGACCTCGTCATGTGAGGAAGCGAGTCTCTAGGCAGCATGCATGATGTGTCATTATAACAATTAATTTTTCTATTTAATTTTCTTGGTATGTGAGGATGGGAAGGAGGGGACATCTCTTTCATTCTGCATATATCTGGGTGTTTTTCTTTTCTTTTTTAAAATTTTATTTTTTTAGAGAGAGGGAAACATCAACCTATTGTTCCACCCATCTATGTACCCACTGGCTGGCACTTCCATGTGCCCTGATCAGGCATAGAGTTTGAAACTGTGGTGCACAGGGATGAGTTGCCCACCGACTGAGCTACCTGGCTAGGGCTGAGTTTTTGTTAGCTTTTACAAAAAAAAAAAAAAAAAAAAAAAGGTACTGAAGTTGCTTGATTATGCATATTTACACATATTATGCATGCATTACACACATGCATGTACATATGTACACACACATGCAAAAAGACACTTATTTTCTTTATTGATTTTAGAGAGAAACATCAGTTTACTTTATCTATCCATGCATTCATTGGTTCTGTTTATTTCTAATTAGAGGCCTGATGCATGAAATTCATGCAAGGGGTTCAGCCCTCACAGCCACAGTGGCTGCCTTGGCCTTCTCAGCCCCAGCTTCATCCTGAAGGTCATTCGGTCATCTGGTCTAATTAGCATATTATGCTTTTATTATTTTAGATTACATATGTAATTAAAAATTTTTTATTGTTGACAGTATTATAGATGTCTTATTCTTTGTTGGCTGCCTCTGGCACACCCCACACTGGGGATTGAGCCCACAACTCAGTCATGTGCCCTTGACTGGAACTGAACCTGGGGCCCTTCAGTCTGCAGGCTGACGCTCTTCCCATTGAGCCAAACTGGCCAGGGCTCATTGGTTCTTGTTTGTGTACTGACATGAGATTAAACCTCCAACCTCGATGTATCAGGATGCTCTAACAAACTGAGCTACCTGGCCAGGCCAACAAAGGCCTGCTATAAAACTGAAGACTGGAGGCCACCAAGACCAAGATGGCTGGGAGACTTGCTGCTTTCCTCGTGCTTGGCCTGGGCAAGGAGCCGGGCTGGTTGAGTTCTTCACCATTGGAGGCCTTGGTATTTTTCTGCCCCCTTCAGCCCCTACACCAAGCACGAGGCCAGGATCAATCAGGTTACACCCTACAACTACCCAGTGCTAGCTGGAGATGATGGAAACATGCCCGACACCCCCAGCTATCCCCAGCACCCTTAGTGCCCAAGTTGGAGTGACTGAGAGCATATCCACTGACAGGCCGCCCCTATGGCCCCCAATAAAAATGTGACAACAGAAACACACACACACACACACAAAACACAAACACACCCACCCACCAAAAAACAAATGAACAAAAAACCCACCCCAAAACAAAATATCAGTGCCCCTCCAGCAGCATGCTCTGCTTCTCACAGTGCCCTGGGGCATTCAGGAGGCTTCCTGAAGGCGAAGGTGGGGAGAAGGGAGAGGAGGGCATATTTAGGTCCCAGTTAGCCTTAAATGACAGGGTAGCAGAGGAAATGTTACCTTCTCAACGGAAAGAAATCCTTCCCAGATGGCAGGGGGGTAATTGAGGCCTGAGGTGGAATGACCAGCCTGAGGTCAAAGCCTGGGCCATGTCCCAGGCTGGAGACTGCCATACTATTGTATATGTCCTCGTCTAAGTGATCACCAGTCTGCTGGTGCAAAGGGAGCTGGGGGGCTACTGGAGAGCGATTCCGATTGCTCTCATCCCCCACCTCGACGTCCAAGAGTGGGTGGGGGTTTAGGTTCTGGGTGACTTTCTCAGGGCATGGCACTAAGGCCCATATCACACACCCACTTCCCAGGTTCTGATAAAGATGAAGGCAAATGTCTGGGAGGTTCTGGGCTGACAGCAGCTTCCCTCATTGTCAGATGGGCCCTCACCACTCCTGAGTGTCCTCCGAGACACAGTGGGGAGAAGGAAGACTCAGGGGTCCCAAATCAGCTTCCTAAAGAGCCTTGTCTCATCTGTCGCCATTTGATTTGCTGATGGATCCCCTCCCCAACCATTTCCCTTCCCTGGTGCCCTGGGTACGTCCAAAGCCTGCCTCCTGCCTGTGCCATGCTCAGGTGGAAGCCCCTGCAGGCCCATGTGTTCACCCACCTGCTGTGATCTTTGCCCTCTCCCCCAACCTGAAGGGCCAGGGGTAGCGGGTAGAGGAATCAGACACAGGCTACCAGCACATAGGAACAGCAGGGAGCTTTGAAGACACCCAGAAGTTGGCCTCTTGGTCAGGGGGAGGTCTAACTGTGCCTTGGTTTATCTCTGACAGCTAGAACCCCAACCCTGGGAGTCGGCAAGGCCTTGGGGGTGGGGGGGGGGCATTCGGGGCAGCTAAGACAGGGCTCCCAATCACAACACCCTCTCAGAGGTAAGTTTCTGTTCCTAGCACCCCCCCCCCCTCCCAAGAGAATCTGCCTGCTCCCCGATGTACTGGGTCCTGACCACTGCCTGCCCTCGTCTCCACACCTTCGGGGCTTTCCCAGTTACTGACCAGGCTCCCACCCCGGCAGGCAGAGGCATGCCCTGAGGCAGGGTGTTTATGATCCGGTTCCTGTAGGCACCACATCTACCATGTACCCCAACGGCCTGATTTTATAAATACATCAATGGAGACCGTGGAAGATCGGGTTCCTCTACATTTATTGCAACTGCTAAGTGATTAACATTCACAATTTCTTAGATTAAAAACAAAACTTGCATTTTGTAACATCACAAACGTCTTCTAGGTTTTACCAAGGACCAAAAACACTAAAATTCTCTATTTGATTTCCAGTGATGGAAACAAGCCAGAGACAGTAAGCACCCAAAGTGGCGAGTTAGCACTTTCCGGATGCCTGTTGTCCTCACGGGAGAGACCCTGGAACTAGAATGACAGAAAAGACGCTGTGACTTTGACAAGGCCACACACCCGCACACGCACTCACAAGTTCCCTGCAGAGCATCCTTTGCTGAGAGAGCAAGACTGCACAGGGGGCCAGCACGCACTGGTCCCCGGCTAGCAGCTGGCAGAGGGCACTCCACCATGCTCCACCCTGGCACCTGCAACGCCTCAATGTTGACTCCACAGGAGAAACGTCATGTAAGTGCTCAGAAGACTTTGCAGGCTCAAGAAGTAGGTGTTTCCTTTAATACTTGCAAAAGGTTCATGTCCCCAGGAGGAGTGGCAGGAGGTTGTGGGGACAAGGCTCACATCCTGAGAATGCCTAAAGCATTTTGCTTGTGAATAAAAGTGGAGAAAGTCAAGGATGAACACTAGCTAGAGTGAATATGACATTCAGAGCTACGCTCCAAAAAAAAGAGAAATGTGCTGGGGGATGTCCATCTCACTCAGGCCAACAGGTACTTTGTGACCAAGGCCGCTCTCAGAATTCCATCCTGTGGCCCAACCCACAGCCAACATGGACGGCTGACGGAAGGACTAGGAAAGAGAGGAGTAGAAGGTGAACTTCCAGTGTGCTTCTCCCAAAACACACCACCCTTGCAGGCTGGTTCGCCTCTGCTGAAGGACCGCCAGCATTGCCATGGCCATAAAGATGTGCTGGATGCCAAAGCAATAGAAGTGATCAGAAGCAGGCAGAGATCTGGCTATACCTGACATGTAGAGAGGTGGCACCAGGCAGGTGAGATGTCATGGTGAGCGGCAGGACAGACATCGATAAGACAGAAGCACAGAAGCAGGACTATAATTGGGAGGTCTGTGGTCTGAGAATGCAAGGGTTTCTTGGCAGCCAACACAAGCAGCTGACAAGGTAACTCACTGCTGTGTTCCTCTGATGTACCATCAGAACCGCAAAGTTATCTAGATTTTAGCACATATTTAAAACTTCCACACTGCTGTTTTAGGAAGAAGCGCTGAGGTTATCACAGCCTGAGAATTTAACATGTAGTTGCAAAGCGCAGAGAGAAGCTGGAAGGGGTGGCAGTCATATACCTCGAAAGAGCAAGCCCACCCAAGAGGATCCTCCCAGTTCTGTAAAAGGGCCCTAACAAAACACTTATTTCCACTGCACACATGCAAAAAATGAAGAGTCTGGGAGAGTTTATCCCCACCCCTTTGTAGGAAACCTCATATGTGGTTTAAAAAGAAAACACAAACTGTGGCTTTCTTTGTGGATTCTAAAGAGAATTAAAAATTGGGGGAAAGTTTCATCAGTGTCGTGACTACTCCCCGCTGAAGACAGCTGTATGGTACCGTTGCTAAATTGTGTTAAGTCTCTTGGGATGCAATTAAGAGAGGAGACTCCATAAATAACACATTCATGGAATCAAGTATCTCCACTTGTTCAGAGCTTCAGCGCTCCACCGACAGGCTGCGGTGCCAGAGTACAGATTACATCCCGTTTAAGTTCTGGAAACAATAAGAAGACACAATTGGTAATCATTTCAGCATCAAGTCTGCTAACAGAACATTCTGGAGAGCAACGTGCCAGGCCAGCACCACCTTCTGTGGGAACGAGAAAAGACTCGGAGAGGACTTGCTGTCCAAAGCAGTTGGAAGAAGAGGAGAGGCAAAAGCAGATAGGAAGTGGTGCATTCTTTTTTCCTTAAGAAAAAGAAAAGCCAGCAGAATCTCTGCATCAGAAACCGCAGACATTGGTTTTCATGTACACACTGAACTGACTTGGGCTCTGGCTCCAGGGTGGATCCGGGGCAGAGGTGGCGTTTTTAGAATAATGGTTGCTTCGAGGCTTATCTTTCTCACCAATGGTTTTCATCTATTTAAGGAGAGAACAATTTTGTTCAAAACTGAGTTGGACATGATGAGTGAGGAGGGAAACTAAAAAGAGCAGAGAAAGATGAGGATATTCATAGGGTCAAGACCCTTCAGAAGGAAAGGATCTGAAGACGGTCCTCTGAGGCCAGCGCCCAGGTCACCCTTACACTTGGGGACACAAGACCACTCCTGTGACAGCCTGGGAGTCCGGACTGAGGCCCCGCAAGCAGGCCACGTGCAGCTGTGCTTGGTGAGTGTGGCACTCACTCCTCCAGCCAAACCTGGAAGGTGAGAGGGTGGGGGGACAACATCCGCATCCAAAGACTCCTTTTGTTTCCCTCAAAGATTTTCTTTTGTTGAGGTCTGGTTTTGGAGTGTGGGGGACACCAACTTTTGTGGAGGAACCGTCGCTGCATATCAAAGTGCCAGCTTAGGCAGGTTGCCCAGCGCGCCAGCTCGTGCACATACCTATTTGTTGGCTCGTTTGTGTCTGTACATCTGCATCATCCTCTGACGGAAGACGTCAAACGTGTCTTCCTTGTGCTCCTGCCCTTCGGCGCCCAACCCCTCCCCTTCGGAGGCCGTACCCCTAAGGAGCAAAATGGAGCGTTAGCCACACCTGTACCCAGTCCCGGCCACCAAGAGATTGGAAATGGCTTGAGCAATCAGAATGGACAGAAGTATGTGGCGGCAAAGGAGAGGGAAGGTGCAGATGTGATCCCATAGGAACAGGGCACTCACCTGTGTGGGTGCTCAGGAGCCTGGATTATAGCAGAAAGCCCCCCCCCCCCCAACTTAATTATCAATGAAATAAATGCCTGGATTTAACCAATTAACAGGGTTGGCCCCTGGTAGGGTTGCATATGGGTTTCCAGAAAAAGAAACGTGCTTCTTGGCTTCCTGGTGTAACTACCTAGAATCACCATTCAGCTTTTTGACAATGTGGCCAAATGTTAGGGGCCAAGAAGCCATTTAAGAAATCTGCATAAGCAGTCTACGGCCATACCACCCTGAACGCACCCGATCTCGTCTGATCTCGGAAGCTAAGCAGGGTCGGGCCTGGTTAGTACTTGGACGGGAGAAATCTGCACAAGCACAGCAAGGAGCAGGGTGAACAATTGCCTATGGAAATGTCTGCTTCTCATCTCATCTGAAGACTCCCTTCGATAAAAACAAAGAACAAAATAACCTCCCCACCCACACACCCCAAAAAACTGCCAACTTAAACTAAGTTCACCATGAGGGAAACCAAGAATTGGGCTGCGGGTGGAAGGACTTAGGACCAGAATTCCAAAGGAAGCCCCTTCTTCTAGGCACAGGCACACCACTTCCCTCCCTCCCCAGCCCCAAGTGCCTGATGCATACATGCCAACGGGCTCCCGGATGCCCTTCCCACAGGAGCCCAGGCCGTGGCCTTCCTTCCAGCCCATCTTCTGCAGCATCTGGAACCCCAGGTTCTTGTCGGTCAGCTTTTGCTGGGTGAAGTCCAAGTCCTTGGGTTTCTAAGGAAAGAGTGCACCACGTGGGTTACAGCAAAGTGTCCAGAGCGAGAGCCTCCAGCATGGCCCGGCACTGACACCCTGACTCCCCGGACACTCACCGTCAAGCCAGTCACCTTCCCAGTTCTCAACCTAGAAGGGACAAAACACCTAGACAGACACTATGAGTTCAGTGACAGGAAGGGAAGCACACTCTGAGGTATGAAGTAGAGTGTGTGTGTGTGTGTGTGTGTGTGTGTGTGTATGTGTGTGTGTGTGTGTAAGCGAGTGCATGAGATACTGACTGGATCTGGGGGAGACGGGAGGTGAGGGGGTCTTGACAGGAGGATGGACTGAAGTCCATCTGCAGGGCATTAAAGGAGGACGCAGAGGAGGGAGGAGCTTGATGTTGGCTGGGGCAAGAAAAAGGGACAAACAGCAGTGCAGGAGGGATAGTGCAGGCTGAAGGCCAGGGGAATGATGGGCAGGAGTTGCTAGCCCTGGGGCGCCAGCTACCATCAGGAAATGACCTAAGAACAGAGGAGATGGAACCTGCCACTGACATGACAAGGGTGCCTGTCATGCTCTCTCTCACAGGCCCGGAAAAAAACAGCTGGGTGAATATGGTCAGGGCACATACTGAGTTGTGGATTCAATCCCTGGTTGGGGCACATATGGAAGGCAACTGATCAATGATTCTCTCTCACATTGACGTTTCTCTCTCTCTCTCCCCATTTCTAGTTAAACTCAGGCAGGGGTCTTCAAACTATGGCCCGCGGGCCACATGCGGCCCGCAGAGGAGTCTGATCCGGCCCGCCAGGTTTTTTGGGCAGTGAGCGCAGCCGAGGGGTTACAGTAGGAATTAGTAGTTCATATAGTCCGGCCCTCCAGCTCTCTGAGGGACCGTGATCTGGCCTCCACTTTAAAAAGTTTGAGGACCCCTGAGTTAAAGCATGTGGATGAGGATTAATAAAATTAAAATACAAAACACACACACACATTACAGTCCACTAAATCTGAACCTCTTGAGGACCAAGACATTACTTGTTCATCTCTCCATTCCATTGCACACATCAAGTCTCAACTATCTGTTAAATGGACTTCCCTTCTGTGCTTTGGACAAAGCTGAACATATTGTTTTAAAAAGCCGCTGAAGAGAAAAGGCAGTTGTTGTGCTTTGTACATTTACATCCAGTCTGAAGCATGGGTACTGCTTAATCAAAAGCCACAGTGTCCTTTGAGACTCTGACAAATTCACACGAGGACTCACAAATAGTCACACCCACCTTCTTTTTGGACACAGGACGACCCCCAGGCCTGTCATAGGCGATACGAACCGGTTCATGAACTGGAAGACAAAAGAAGTGTATCTATGTTCTAATCCACATAAAGAGCTCGGCGGCATCACGACCAAACGGGCGACTGGTTACCATGAAGTGCATGGAGCACCTCTAGGTCCTCCCCTTCTCTGGCCCCCGAGCCACTCACCATTGGGGGGGATGATTTGGCGGAGGGACGGGACTGGGGACTGTTTAGCGGCTGCTTTGAGGGGTGGCTGTGAGCTTAGCGGAGCAGTCACCCAGGCGGCAGTGAGTTTGCGGAGCCTCATGGAGCAGTTGAGGGGCTTGGAGTGGGGAGCTTCACATAGCATCACAGGGCGGCAGAGGCCATGCGATGGAGGCCAGACTTGGCCTAGGGACCTTAACTGCGCATAATTTTATGCACGGTGGGCCTCTAGTATATATTAGGTCTAGTAATAATTAATGTCGTCTTCTAATACTTTTTTAAATCGAATTTATTTAAACAATACAACAAAATTTAATCAACAATACAGTTGCCGTTGTTTTCTACTACTTGTGCCCAACACTCAGGAAGCATTTTAATCCCTCTGTTGTAAAATTCTTGTGATTTTGATGCAAAAAATTCGGTCAATGCATTTTTGAGGCATTCTTCATTATTAAATTTTTTTCCAAGAAGAAAGTTTTGCAAAGAACGAAACAAATGGTAATCGGAAGGGGCAATATCAGGAGAATATGCAGGTTGAGGGAGAACTTCCCATTCCAACTGGTGCAGTTTTTCAGCAGTGATTCTTGCAGTATGAGGTCGTGCGTTATCGTGGTGAAGAATTACGCCCTTCCGATTAATCAGCGCGGGTTCTTTTTCTCTTAAAGCTTGGGCTAACCTTTCCAATTGGGCACTATACACTGCACTTGTAATGGTTTGGTTAGATGGTAAAAGTTCATAATGAAGAATTCCTTTAAAATTCTGCCAAACACACATCACTTTTTTCGCATGCAAGTCAGGTTTTGGCGTGGGCTGCGGAGCCTCATTTTTGTCCAACCATTGAGGCCGCCTTTTCAAATTAACATACAGCACCCATTCTTCATCTCCGGTAACAATTTGTTCTAAAAACGGCAAACGGTTTTGACGAAAGAGGAGCGAACTGCAAATTGTGACTCTTTGATTATGGTTGTTGTCGGTCAACTCATGAGGAACCCATTTTCCAAACTTTTGGACTTTGCCAAGTGCACGCAATTGATTGGAAATTGTTTTTTGTGAACAATTTAAAGTTGTCGCAAGCTCTTGTTGGGTAATTTGAGGATTTTGCACCAAAAGAGCTTGAAGAGCTTCTTGATCAAAATTGGACACACGGCCTCGACCACTCTTGTCATCTAACGAAAAATATCCCTCGTGAAATTTCTCAAACCAACGCTGGCATTTTCTGGTGCTAACTGCATCTTGACCAAGAGCACTACAGATGTTTTTTGCAGCCTCACTTGCTTTTCTTCCTAATTGGAACTCGTAAAGCATGCAGTGCCGAATATGCTCTTCATCTGCCATCTTCTTAGCCCTAGTTTTGCAACAAAAACCAAACCAAACACAAACTTTTTCAAGCAAAACTTGTTAATTGCACTTCACACGTTCTGTAGATACCACGTGTTTGAAGGTTATGTCAATACAAGTCAACGCCAAGCAAGATTTTAAATCAATGTTAAAAAACGACATTAATTATTACTAGACCCATAACCTATATAAAAGCCAAGTGACTAGCCATAGCTTTGATGTGCACTGACCACCAGGGGGCAGATACTCAACACAGGAGCTGCTGAGCTGAGGTCACTTGGCAATGGTGGTTCTTGGGTGATACCGGGAACCAGAGAGGAGGGAGCCTGATTCTGGCGTGTGTCACCTCAGAACTGCCCTCTCGCAACCCAGGACCCATCGGGGGATGTTTAAGAGCCGGTTTTGGCCCGATCCCCGTAGGCCAGGCCAACGGACTCCCCCAAGCACAATAGGGGCCAGAGAGGGAACGTAGAAGGGCTCTGGGGTGTGTCCGGCTCATTTTCCCAGTCCTAATAGGCTGAACTCCAGCAGCAAGCTAATCTACTGGTGGTTAGTGTGTATCATAGCAACTGGTTGATCAGTCAGACACTTAGCATATTTGTCTTTTATTATATAGTATATGTGCTTTTCCCATATTTGAGAGAAAATGAGGGCTGTACAATTTTGCCTAATAGCCTTTCAGCTGACAAAAGGTGTTTACAACATGCACAAAGGAGGTGCTTGGCTTAGCTCCTCTCAGGAACTGTGTAACCCTGGAGCATGGAAGCTGAACACAGGGGCTCAACTGAGGGCTCCTTGCTGTGGGAGAACCTTCTTAAAAATAAGATGCCCATGTTTATGATTAAGGACCAAACACATGGATCATCTTCCAGGACTACAGTTTGCTTCACAAATGAACTATGTGCAATGCTATGTATGTCCTCTGGCATCATTGTGACTATCCTACTTTAAAGAATTAAAGTTCACACAGAACTTTCCAACAAAAACAATTGTGTTTCTTATATAGAAAGCTCCAAGTCTCATTATTATTATTATTATTATTATTATTATTATTATTATTATTTAGTAACAAAGGGGAGATCTGCAGGCCTTTTTTTTTTTTTTTTATCTCATCAACCACTCAATTAAAAAACTGAGAAATTCCAAAATAGAAAGGACTCCACTTTCCCCCAGTGAGGACATACTTAAGCATTCTGATACGCTACCACCACCTGCAGTAAGAGTTCAGTAGAACAGTTAGCAATCCACTGCAATGCCAAATTAACAAACACAAACCATGGGAGTGTTCTGTTAGTGGGAAGCTATATTAACACTGCTGGGTGTAAATGTGACAGTCTCAATAACATAGAACAACATGGGGGGTGACAAATGATGGGGCACTGTTTACCACCACCGCCACCTTACACACAAGTATCACAGTATCAGTCCCACACTTGAAACACAGCCCAGGCTTGGCTGTGCGGACACTTGGATGGGTAGGGCTATGAGGAGTAGCCTGAGCCATGATCAGTCATAAAAAGGCGACAAACAATAACATTCCACTTACTGAGCCTAGACAAGGCAAGGCCAGAAAACAATCAGTGGTTGCTGGGGGCTGGATAGTAGAGGGGACTGTAGACACTTTCTGGGGACAGGCTCCAGCTCAACTATACTATGGGTTCATGCCTGTGCCATTTACCAAAACTCCTCAAACTGTCCACTTAAAAGAGATGAATTTTATTGCTGGAAAATTGTACCTCAAGAAACTTAACACAGGAGAGCAGGAGTGACCTCCACAGAGCACATGGCTCCTGCTAATGGATATATGAGACCAGCCCTGTCCCAAGTCCTCCCACCTCACTGTCACAAAGCAAGTGCCATAACTCCAGCCTTCCTTGGCTCAGAAGGCTGGGTACCCCTTCTCCCCCAAGGCCATGGGCAACAAACATCTGAGATGACCCAAGCTAGTTCTCCCATAGTCAAGGCTAACCTGCTGGAATCTGAGCAATAAGGGAGACCCTGAGCAGTATGTGGTATCTAGAAGCCAAAGATTACTCGGCAGAGTCTCTTTAGAGTGCTATCATTAGACAAATGGAAAAGTGAGTTTCACACAAACACTGGCAGGGGTACACAAAACTACTAGAACTGTTTTAGGTTAAAAACCACAAAACCAGGGAGAAACCAAGATGGCGGCCTAGGTAAGCACCTAAGCTGCCGCCTCGCACAACAATTTCAAAACAACAACTAAAAAACAGAATGGACTTCATCCAAAACCACAGGAAAGCTGGCTGAGTGAAAAAAATCTACAACTAGAAAGGAGGAGAGAGGCTCACAGATCAGCGGAGCCGCAAAGTGCTGAGGTCGGGAGATGTTCATGCGCAGAGAGGAAGGGCAGCCGAGTGCCTGGTTGGTGGGAGGGGAAAGGAAGCCCCCGGCTGCACTGAACCCCAGTTCCGACTGCACTGAACCCCAACCCCGTCCGAAACCCCATGGACCCAGGCTCATACGGGTGGAATCTGGACTGTAGAGAAAAGCACCCGGAGGCTCAGAGACTGGGAGTCTCAGGGAAGCCGGGAGTTGTAGCGGGCAGAGTCTATAGTTGTGCACGAGTGAGTGCGCACAGAGAAGTCTGACCACGGAGATTGCCGCAGCCCTCCATAGTGGAAGGAGTTGGAAGCTCCAGACTACAGAGACCCAACCCAATTCCAGGTGAGCCCCTGGCACACACACGCTCTTGCAGGGGGAATCTGGACTGTCAGGAGAAAACTCAGGGGAGCCGTGGAAGGCAGAGGTCTGAGGTGCGTGCACAAGGGCAGGACTGACTGGAAGCCAAGACTGTTGGCTCAGCCTTGAGACTCCAACCCATCCAAGCTGAGCACAGAGGCTTTTGCAATTTTGCAAGTCTGATCCAATAAGACTGTCTCCAATACAGAAGGTATCCCAGAGTAGACACAGCTGATACTCACATCCAATTGGCCTGGAGGTCAATTCCTTCCAGTGATACCAACAACAATCAAGACTTAACTACAACAAGGCTGTACACACAGTCCACAAAGGGGAGCACCAAGAGTGTCTACCTCAGGTAACTGGGCCATATAGGACACCAAACACACAAAGCCATCAACTCAGGGAAGCAGCAAAAATGCCGAGACAAGGAAATAGATCTCAAATGAAAGAAATGGAGGAGAACAAAAGACTGGAAATAGCGTTCAAAAACCACAGTTATAAGGTTTTTCAAGAATTTCCTAGAAAAAGCCGATAAATTTAATGAGACCCTCGAGGATATGAAAAAGGACCAACTAGAAATTAAACATACACAGACTGAAATAAAAAATATTATACTGAGACCCAATAGCAGACTAGAAGAACACAAGAATCAAGTCAAAGATTTGGAATACAAAGAGGCAAAGGACATTCCTCTAGAGAAGCAAGAAAAGAAGAGTATCCAGAAAGTTCAAGATAGTGTAAGGAGCCTCTGGGACAACTTCAAGCGTACCAACATCAGAATTATGGGGGTGCCAGAAGAAGAGAGAGCGCAAGATACTGAAAACCTATTTGAAGAAATAATGTCAGAAAACTTCCCCCACCTGGTGAAATAAATAGACTTACAAGTCCAGGAATCGCACAAAACCCCAAACAAAAGGAATCCAAAGAGGACCACACCAAGACACATCATAATTAAAATGCCAAGACCAAAAGACAAAGAGAGAATCTTACAAGCAGCAAGAGAAAAACAGTTAGTTACCTACAAGGGAGCACCCGTATGATTATCAGCTGATTTCTCAACAGAAACTATGCAGGCGAGATGGGAGTGGCAAGAAATATTCAAAGTGATGAATAGCAAGAACCTACAAGCAAGATTACTCTACCCAGCAAAGTTATCATTCAGAATTGAAGGGCAGATAAAAAGCTTCAAAGATAAGAAAAAGCTAAAGGAATTCATCACCACCAAACCAGTATTATATGAAATGCTGAAGGGTATTCTTTAAGAAGAGGAAGAATAAAAAAGATAAAAATTATGATCAACAAATACATACATATCAACAAGTGAATCTAAAAATCACGTGAATTAAAAAAATCTGAGGAACAGAATAAACTGGTGAATATAATAGAATCAGGGGCAAAGAAAGGGAGTGGATTGATAATTATTAGGGGGAAAAAGGTGTGGGGGGTGCAGGAAAATACTGGATTAAAATTGTACACCTATGGATGAGGACAATGGGGGGGGAGGTAAGGGCAGAGGGTGGGGTGGGAACCGGGTAGAAGGGAACTATGAGGGGAAAAAGGAGAAACAATTGTAATAACCTGAGCAATAAAGAGTTATTAAATTTGAAAAACAAACAAACAAAAAAATCCCCCCACTGAACCACAAAAACAAAAACCCCCCACAAAACCAAAGAACCCTGTTGAGGAGGATTTGGGAGGTAATGTCCAGGTGGGCGGGTGGAATCAGAGGTGGAGAGGTAACAGGTCAGCTGGTTATCTTGTGGCTGAGGGTCAGCAAATTCTTCAAAACAGCCAGCAATGTCTCTACCTGTTCCACAACCAAGTACCACTGACTCCTCTTCAAGTGCTAAGCAGAAGGCTATGCAGGGTTCTGCACCAATGCTGGCACTCACCTTTGGGCTCTTGGATGAGACACAGCCTCTTGGGAGCCGGAATCATGCCGACCTTCAATGACTTGCTGCTGACTCTCTTCCGGGGAAAGCAGGCCTGGGATAGGCCAGACGTGCCAGCAGGGCCATCTTCAGCTGCCTCGCTTGGAAGGCCATCAGTCGGGGAGCTGCCCTCGGAGCCCTCAGAAGTAGCTACTTCTCCTGAAGCCCTGGAGGGCCCTCCAGGAGTGAGGGCCTCCTCCTCCTCATCTTCCTCTTCCTCCTCTTCTTCCATCTCTTCCTCTTCCTCCTCCTCCTCCTCCTCCTCAGGCATCACCTCTAGGCTGTCCAGCTCAACCTCCTGGTGAGGAGGCTCATTAGCAAATTCTCCTTCCCCTTCCATGGATTCTAGGGCGCTCTCGCTGGCATGGAGGTTCGGCGAAGGTGATGTAAAACAAATCGATGGGCACAGTTCAAATACCTTCTTTCGGTAGAATTTGAAAGCTGAGCTATTTTGGTCTTGTAGAAACCTGGGAAAAAGATGATACATATTGGTTAATCAGGCAGTTCTCTGAACATTCTTATTTGCTGAAACTGTCTGAATGGACCTGATGAAGCTGGGGGTGGGACCAGGGAGTGAATAACCTGACCTCTTCCTATCACCTATGGCTGGTGGTGCAGCTTTGCAGTGAGATAGAAAGTTTGAGGAGCCAAAATGTGAAGCCTAATTGCTTTTCAGGGGAGGGAGGTAGAGGAACAAGGTATGTAGCAATGACCAGGGAATGTGCTGGAACGAGCTCTGACACTCAGCCCCGATATCCAACCTGGCCTCACCCATCCCTTTCTAGTGAAGCCACTAGCCCTCTGGACCTCTGCGCGCTCTCTGTGACTAAGGTCCCTCTCATATTTCCAGGTACAAGATGGAGGAAGCGTGTCACCCACGGAACTGCCTGTCTTGTGTTCTGCACAGAATCTGTTTAAACATGGTGGCGATAAAGCCTCTCTGAGTCTTCAAGTTCGAGGACCTCCTAGAACCGTAGTCACAGCTGGGGGAGAGGGTTGGCTGGTGTGAAAAACCAAAACATGCAGGAAGATACAAAATACACTTGGACCAAGGAAAAGACAGCCCTTGTTCTTGGACAGGACAACTCGACCTCATGAAGATGTCACTTCTTCCCTAGTTAACATATTAATGTTGAAAAGTATCTCAATAAAAGCATCATTTGTTTCTGGATCTGGACAAGATGATTCTAAAGTCCACAGAGAAAAATAAATATGCAAAGACATCTGGAAGAACTCTGAACTAGCTCCTCCAGATATTATAAGGTAGTATAATGCCTCTAAGTTAAAACAGCATGGTATTGTGATTAAGAGGTACAAATTGGTAGCTGCAAATTAGTCACAGGAATATAAAGTACAGCATAACACATAATATTGTAATAAATATGCATAGTGCTAGATAGGTGCCAGAATTATTGGGGATCACTTTGTAAAATTATATAAATGTCTAACCACTATGCTGTATACCTGAAACTAATAAAATAATATTGAATGTCAACTATAATTTAAAAAAAAGCATGCTTTTTCCATGAATAGATGGACAAACAGACCAAAAGAAGAGCTAGAAACAGCATCTGATGAAGGGGGCCTCTCAAACCTCTCCAAAAAAGAGTCTTTTCGCCGAAACCGGTTTGGCTCAGTGGTAGAGCGTCGGTCTGCGGACTGAAAGGTCCCAGGTTCGATTCCAGTCAGAAGCATGTAAGTTGGTTGCGGGCACATCCCCGGTAGGGGGTGTGCAAGAGGCAGCTGGTTGGTGTTTCTCTCTCATTGACGTTTCTAGGTCTCTATCTCTCTCCCTTCCTCTCTGTAAAAAATCAATAAAATATATTAAAAAAAAAAAAAAAGAGTCTTTTCAACAAGTGGTGTTGAGAAATATGGGAAGCTTAAAAAACAACATTTAAATTGGATCCATGCTACAACCTCTGCTCCCAAATAACCCCACACAGATCGGAATATAAACATAGAAACCAAGCCATACAAGTTATGTCAGGAAGTACATAAATGTCCATAACCTTAGTGTGGGGAGTTTCTTTCTATGACTCAGTACTAGGGGTAATAAAAGGAAAAACAAATTGATAAATCTGAACTTCTGAAGAACTACCCATAGGCAAAGTGAAAGATAAACATCAAAATAAGAAGGAAATGTATACAATTACCTCACAGATAAGAGCTCTTAAAAAATCAAGAAAAAAGCTGAAACCCGTTTGGCTCAGTGGTAGAGCGTCGGTCTGTGGACTGAAAGGTCCCAGGTTCGATTCCGGTCAGAGGCATGTATGTTGATTGCGGGCACATCCCCGGTAGGGGGTGTGCAAGAGGCAGCTGGTCGATGTTCCTCTCTCATCGACGTTTCTAGCTCTCTATCTCTCTCCCTTCCTCTCTGTAAAAAATCAATAAAATATACTTTAAAAAAGTCAAGAAAAAAGAAGCTCAAAAAATCCAACAGAGGAAAGGGCAAAGATGAAGAATTTCTACCCTCCAAAAGGCATTGCTGGAGCCTGGTCAGTGTGGTTCAGTGGTTGAGATTAACCTATGAACCAGGAGGTCATGGTTCGATTCCCGGTCAGAGCACATGCCCAGATTGTGGGCTCGACTCCCAGTGGCAAGTGTGCAAGAGGCAGATGATCAATGAATCTCTCTCATCATTGATGTTTCTCTCTCTCTCTGAAATCAATTCAATTATATATATGAAAGATACTGCTGGAATGAGAAGTCAAATCAGACTGGGAGAAAATGCAAATCATCTTTCTAATAAAGAACTTGTATGAAGAATATACAATGAAAAAAAAAAAAAAAAAAAAAGCCCTAGCCAGTTTGGCTCACTGGATAGAATGTTCGTTGGCTGTGGACTGAAGAGTCCCATGTTTGATTCCAGTCAAGGGCACATGCCCGGGTTGCAGGCTTGATCCCTAGTGAGAGGGCATATGTGTCAGGATGGCCGAGTGGTCTACGGCGCCAGACTCAAGCTTAGCTTCCCTAGTGAGAGGGTGTGCAGGAGGTAGCCAATCAATGATTCTCTCTCATCATTGACGTTTCTATCTCTCTCTCCCTCTTCCTTTCTCTCTGAAATCAATAAAAATATATTTTTAAAAAAGTATACAGTGAGCCCAGTGGGTGTGCTCAGTGGCTGAGCGTCAACCTATGAATCAGGAGGCCTGGGTTGTGGGTTTGATCCTCAATAGGGGGCATGCTGGAGGCAGCTGATCAATGATTCTTATAATTGATGTTTCCATCTCTCTCCTTCTCGCTCTGAAATCAATAAAAAAAAAAGAACTCTCAAAATTCATTACTAAGAAAATAAACAGCCCAATTAAAAAAAATGGGCCAAAGATCTGAAGAGACACTTAAAGAGATATGGAGAGTACATGAGCACACCAGAAGATGCTCAGCATCATCAGTCCTCAGAAATGAGAATCACAGTGGGATACGCCCTCCCGCTCCCATAACTGGGACAATAAAAAGACAGACACTAGCAAATGCTAGTGAGGACAGGGAGGAACTTCTGGGACTCTCACCCAGGCTGTTGAAAAGGCAAAATGATGGAGTCACTTGGAAAGGAAGTTTGGAAGTTTTCTCAAAAGTTAAATGTGGACCCACCATGGGAGCCAGCCTTTCCCCTCCTCGGTATTTATCTGAGAAATAAAAGCAGTTGTCCACAGAGGTCCTTATACATGAATGCTCACAGCAGCTTTATCTGTAATAATCCCAAAATGAAAACACCTCAAATACTGTCAAACAGGTGGACAGGTAACATACAACGTCTCACTTCTCTCAGCTTATGTATAATTTTTATTTTACTGCAAATGCTCTATTTATTTTAAAAGTTAAAAAAAAAATGCCCTGGCTGATAGTTCAGTTTGTTGGAATGTCATCCTGTATACTAAAATGTTGCGGGTTCGATTCCAGGTCATGGCACAACTAAGGTTTTGGGTTTGAACACAGGTCAGGATGCAGACAGGAGGCAATTAATTGATGTTGTTCTCTCTCACTCTCTTAAAAAAAAAAAATCAATAAAAAGCATATTCTCCAGTAAGAATTAAAAAATAAAATTTAGCCTGGCCAGTATGGCTAAGTGGGTAAGTGTCGACCTATGAATCAGGAGGTCACAGTTTGATTCCTGGTCAGGGCACATGCCCAGGTTGTAGGCTCGATCCCCAATGGGAGGCATGCAAGAGGCAGCCGATCAATGATTCTCTCTCATCATTGATGTTTCTATCTCTCTCCCTCTTTCATTCTCTCTTAAATCAATAAAATACATTTTTAAAATTTTAAATTAAATGAATTAAAAAAAAGCTCTAAAACTGAATATCCACAGAACCAAGTGAATCTAACTGTATGTCAAATTGATTACACAGTCACACACACAAAATGAATAAACTCATTAATGAGCACAATAGAGATATAAATCTTTCAGGGAAAAAGAAACACAAAGACATTTTGGCCTTGCCCAGTGCAGTGATATTCAAACTATTTTATGAGCACTGGGGGACAGAATGCATCACCCCACCAGATGTTGCTGTAGGACTCAGGACTCTCGGTGTTGGTCAGGACAGGATAGCATGTTCTGAAAAACATTGCTCAAAAAAAGGCTACAAAGCCCTAGCTGGTTTGGCTCAGTGGATAGAGCGTTGGCCTGCAGACTAAAGGGTCCCAGGTGCAACTCTGGGCAAGGGCATGTACCTTGGTTGTGGGCACATCCCCAGAGGGGGGTGTGCAGGAGGCAGCTGATCAATGTTTCTCTCTCATCGATGTTTCTGACTATCCTCTCCCTTCCTCTCTGTAAAAAAATCAATTAAAAAAAAAAAAGGCTACACAGAGGGTGAGGAATAAACCCAAGACCAGTTGGCTGCCAACTACCCAGGATGATGCCGTTGTCTTGCAAACTTTCATTTTAATGGGAAGAAAAGGAATGATAAAAGCCCTGGTTGCTGTAGCTCAGTGGTTAGAGTGCTGGCCTGTGCACTGAAGGTCATGGGTTCTAATCCTGGTCAAGTGCACATACTTGGGTTGCAGGTTCAATCCATGGCCCTGGTTGGGGTGTGTATGGAAGGCAACCAATCAATGTCTTTCTCTCATTAATGTTTCTCTCTCTCTCCCCACCTCACTCCTTTCCACTCTCTTTAAAAAAAAATGAAAAAATATCCAAATCAATGAAAAAATATCCTCACATGAGAATTAACAAAACAAAACAAGGGCTTATGAAACACTCCCAGCTTCCCTGTACTGAGCTGTCCCCCTCACTGGCCTTGCCAGGGCAAGATCCTACATGCCATAGGCAGCCGCACTCTGAAGCCTGCAGGTGACAGTTCCTGAGGTCATCATGCCTGTAAAAGGCAGATCCAGGCAGAGTATTTGCAAAGCCACCAGTGCTCTAGGCAACTGGTCTGGGTCTCCCAAGAAGCAGAAGGTTCCCTCAGTGCAGTGCCCAGTCAAAGTCCAAAACAAGCTAGAAGAGCATGCTCGGTCATCTCTGGGTCCAAGAAATGCACTAGTTAATGTGAAGTTTTAAACTGCATCTTTATTAGACTAAGGCACAGCTCTGCAGCATATTGGAGCAGGGCAGAGCCCAGGCAGACTGTAGGATACAATGTACAAAGCAGGAAACCTACCTGCTCCCTATGTACTCCCACTAGCTCTGAGGGGAGCCCATAGGGTTATGGGTCAATAACAGGAACCCAGAAGGAGGCAATCTGTATCCCAGAGGCAGAGCTACTCCCTGACTCTGTGTGCTGAGTCTGAGAAACGGGGATAATGATGCACCTTCAAGTGCGAGGGTGTCAGGCTGTCACTGCATGGAAGTGCTTGTTGCCCACACTTTGGCCAGGGACCACTATCACTCCATGAGCAGCAAATTCTTATCAGCCCTCAGCAGCCAGCATGACCAGGGAACAGTGCCCTCCTCCTCCTCAGACCCCTGGGTGAGGACGCACCCTCCCTCATTCCACCATTGTTCTGACTGCTCAGATCCTGGGGACACTGCCCCTCTGCCCAGGGAGCTCTCTCTCTTCCCTTGGGAAACTCCAATTTGGCCTTCGAATCCACTTTACATGTCCCTCTGGGGAGCTTCTCCCCATCCCCTCAATATCCCACAACAAATGCTCCTCCCTCCAGCTCTGAGCGCAGCAGAAGTCACAATTTACCCCACGTGACCCGAAGTGTTTGTCAGGCTACCTTTTGGCTCTCAGGAGATCTGTGGGGTGAATACACTCAAACCAGAAGGGTGTGGTGGGTACATACCACAGGTCAGGGTTGTCGGCGCTGTTTTCTATGCTGAATTGTTCAATCTCTGGTCCCACCTGAGCAACAAATTTGGCCAGTTTCTCTGCAGTCTCCATAGTCTTCAAGTCAACTATAAAACAAAGCAACTGTCATGCGTAAGAGCTGCCACTTCCCGTATAGACATCATGGGGCTGTGGAGGCTAATTACAAAGACAGTTCCTCATGTCCCCTCCTGCATATTTGCCTTTTGCTCTGTGACTCTGCGACTCTCCTCTCCCTGGAACTGGGACTGGCCCTGAGACTCCTGCTAGCCAACAGGTATGGCAGAGTCCTGGGGCTCGGGTGCCTCTCTCAAAGGCCTGACACCAACCTCAGGTGAACCAACCCAAGCAGGCTGCTGGGTGATGACAGGCACATGGCCCAGTCACTCAGATCACCTCAACCAGCCTCAGACAACCAGCCGCTGCCTACAAACACATGTGTAGGCCCAGTCAGGCTTATGGTAGTCCTGTGTGAAGCCACAGTTTGGGGCTGCTTGTTCTGTAGCAGCTCTGGGGTAGATGTTTCCCCCCCTCTATGTTCCCATCTAGTGCTGAGTGAGAAGCACTGGTCGGGGGCAGGCCTGTTGCAGAGCAGAAGGTAACAGCTAGAAGACACAGAAGGGGTACGTTGGTAACTTCAGAAGAAACTGCAGGTCAGCTAATTCTGAAGAGGGAACGTAGAGACCTAGAGGGAAGAGGCAGAACAAGAACAGCGCAGAACAAGAACGTCCCTATGGAACGTAAACGGGGCAAGCACAAAGAGAAATGGATCAAAAAGTTCAAAGCCTCAGGCATGGGTGCACGGCATAAACTGGCGGTCAGCAGTAGGCAAGCAGTCACTGGGCAGTAACCCTCAGGACAGGAAGAGTGCAACTGAGCTCTCAGGCTGCCCCCTTGAGGAAGCAAAAGGAGAGAAAGCACCATTTCATACACCCATCCTCGCCAGGTCGCCATTGCTACTGCCCACTGCCCACTACCCACTACCCAGACCACTGAGGCCATCACAACTCTGCAGAGGCCCCTAGAGATTGGAGATTCAAGACTGGGGCTCAGAGGAGGGAAACACCAGTGAACACCCACCGTCAGCAGACAAGCAGGGAGAGGAGCTCTGAGGGGCTTCGGATATGTCCACTCCCGCTGGCTTGGGGGATGGGCCTGCAGCTTCTGAGCTCAGGTTCTGAGGAGAGGGCCGGGCGGAGTCTGGCGGGCAGTCCTTGGCAGCATCATTTCCATCTGGCTGGGGCGGCTTTCCCTGCAAGGAGCCTGGAACTTGCCGGAGGTGGTGTTTCAGCCGGGTGCCCGAGGAGAGGAGGGTCTGGGTTCCGGTGGTTGCTCTCCTCACCTTCCAGCCCTGGAGCCCTGGAGCTCGGAGCAGCCCCCGCCGTCGCCCTGGGAGGAGCCTCTTCTTGAGGCTCTGGACTGCCCGGGCATACAGCATGGCCCGGACTGCACATTCTGCAGCCATTGGCTTCTGACCCACTCCTGGTGGGGTCTGGTTTATCCGCTGTGCTTCTGCCAGTTTCAGCTTGTAATAGTTATACTCCAGACTACTGTCATCAGACAAAAACCTATGTAACAAAACAGGCATAGCAGGACATTGCTAAAACACCAGCATGGTCACATCATTGCTGCAAATACACTTCTGCAACTCTTTTCTACATGATGGCTTCTCTACTGTTGAAGGTTCCACTTGGTTCCACCAAGGATCCAGAGCTGGTCCCAGGTCACCCATTTTGCCCAGTGACTGCAGGGCAACCAGGAGCTTTGAGCAGTGGTAGAATCCTCCTCTATTTCTGTCATCAGCAGCCATGAAGGACCTCATAGCTCCTGGAGGCTTAGCTACACAAAACAGTTACCCTGGAGCCATGGAAGCATTTTGCTGCCAGGACATGACAGACATTGCTCCTGGACTCCATTTTCGGAAGGTGACACTCTTGAAATGGTGGGCGCTCAGTGACCTTTTAACTATATCACTTACACTAATAAGCAAGTACTGTATTTGTGATGAAAATGATTTTAATTTTAAAAAGTCCTATTCATATGAAGAGGCAATAAGGCAAAAGGAAGACAGTTGAACAAATAGTAGCGATACACAAATAGCTGCTGTGACATATCCCTTATCTTACACATATTCTTTGCATGTATATTGCAGCCATTGGTAAGCCAGCACAGCAGGGATGCAGACTTCCAAGACTGAATGAGAGGGGCCACAGGGCAGGTCTGCGGCAGGGCTGGTGCTTGAACCCTGGTGAACCTGATTCACTCTAATGTTCTTCTCAATGGTCAACACCACCGCTCAAAATAAACACTTTATCCTTCGCTCTGGACACCACCAGAGCGACATAGATGCTGCTGTGTGCTCTAGGGCAGGGATCTGGAGAGCTGAATTAAAAACCTACCAGTAAGCAGGGTCTTCCTTGAGAAGAGCTCTCTCTTTAGGAGATAGGCTGCCTCCAACGACACGTGTGACCAGCTGGTTGATGATGTCCACCACCTTGTGATCTGCTCGCTGGGGGACAGCTAGAACACACAAAAGGGATTTTCTGAGAAACACTGGACCACATGTTGCCTGGGACGATCAGGACAGAGTCAGGGGCTTAGGGTGGAGCCTAAGCAGGCACTAGCAAACTGAAATTTTCACTCATGAGAGACCAGCTTTGAAAAGAAGAAAGCAGAGTGTTAGTCTAGAAACCAATATATACAACTCGAGGCCCAGTGCACGAAATTTGTGTGTGGGGGAGAAGGGGAATGTCCCTTAGCATAGCCTGCACCCTCTCCAATCTGGGACCCCTCGAGGGATGTCTGACTGCCCGTTTAGCAAATGAATCCTACTGGGATTGGGCCTAAACAGGCAGTAGGAAAATCCCTCTCACAATCCAGGACTGCTGGCTCCCAAATGCTTGTCTGCCTATCTTCCTGATTGCCCCTAACCGCTTCTGCCTGCCAGCCTGTTTGCCCTTAACTGCCCTCCCCTACAGGCCTGGTCACCCTTAACTGCCCTCCCCTGCAGGCCTGGTCCCCCGCAACTGCCCTCCCCTATAGGCCTGGTCCCTCCCAACTGCCCTCTCCTGCAGGCCTGGTCCACCCAACTGCCCTCCCCTGCTGGCCTGGTCCCCCCACAACTGCCCTTCCCTACTGGCCATCTTGTGTGTTGGAGTGATGGTCAATTTGCATATTACTATTTTATTAGATAGGAGAGAGGCCTGGTGCATGGGTGGGGGCCAGCTGGTTTGACCTGAAGGGCATCCTGGATCAGGGTGGGGGTTCCCTTGGGTTGTGGGGTGACCTGGACAAGGGGTCTGGTGGTTTGTAGGCTGGCCACGCCCCCCAGTGACCCAAGAGGAGGCCCTGGTATTTGGATTTATTTATCTCCTATAATTGAAACTTTGTAGCCTTGAGCAGAGGCCAAGGCAAGCCAGGGCTGCCAAAGCTTGGCTTCCTCCATTGTCCAGAGTAGCACAAGTCTCCTGCTCTCTCCAGGTTCATGGCTGCTGCCATTTTTTGTTGGAATTTATCTTCTATAATTGAAACTTTGTAGCCTTCAGTGGAGGCCTGGGCCTGCCAGGGCAGCTTGGCTTCCTCCATTGCTGGGGAAACCCAAGTTTCCTGCTTACTGCAGCTCTGTGGCTATAGCCATCTTGGTTGGGTTAATTTGTCTACTTGCTCCTGATTAGCTGGTGGGCATGGCTTGTGGTTGTAGCAGAGGTATGATCAATTTGTGTATTATTATTTTATTAAATAGGTTATCCTCCCAAAAGCTGTAACAGCATAACCACCAGGACAGAAACAGTTACAGACTTACAACAACACTACAGAGTAATGTATGTATATGTCCTACAGAAGGAAATGGTATGCAGTACTCCATACCACTTCTCATGTATCATTTTACTTGAATGTTCACAATATTAAGGAGAAAAAATAAAGATATAAATGTATTTTGGTATAAAACATTTGTCTAAATTTTCTTCCCTCCTTACTATTTCTAATAGTAAGGAGGGAAGAAAAGACATATAAATATGGAAACATAGAAAAAGAAAATATACCAGAAAATTAACAGATGTTATCTATGAGTGCTAGATTTATTAGGATTTCATTTTCTTTGCGCTTAATCTACAAAATATAAACATATATGTGTTCTGTAACCAAAAAACATATCTATGTAAGTTTACAAAGAAAAATTTTCTAATTAAAAAAGTCAATGGCCCCAAAATAGGTGTTCACAGAAATATTTGCTGAATGTATGAGAACATCTTTAAAGTGTGAAGTTCTTCCAATATGGCTATAATTTACTATGTCACCAGTAACACAGAACTTGTGTCCTCAAATAATAAGATTGTGTAGTTTTCTGATATTTGCTAGTTTTGGTAGGACAGAATGGTCTACTCGTTTACTCATTCAGTAAAAGCCACCCCTGAACTGGAGGTTGTCGTTTGTTCTGCGGAGTAACTGCACTATCCTGTTCTTGCCTATGTCTGAGTTATAGCTTTAAGTTTATTTTATACATCAGTGGGAGCTCCTACACAGAATAAATCAATCTTGCAACTGCTATGTTTTTGCAAGAACTTCCCTTTCGAAATTGTTTTCCTTTCTTTTCGTTATCGGCTCTCATTTTATAGAATTGCTAATTGTACATGATTTTATAGAAAATTAAGCGTTCTAAAATCAGCAGCTTTCAGAAACAAATGCCAATAAATTGGTCCCAGCAACCATCTCTAGAGAAAATGACCATAGCAAAAGGGGTCCCAGAAATCCTTCTCCTGAGACTATATCCTTTTAAAGGAGGATTTAAAAATATAAATTAAAAATAGTAATAATCAACCAAAGATGTCATCCCAGCATTTCTAACACACTGTAATGAAAACAGCGGTGGGGCAGTGCTGGTGCTATCCACCAGCTGTCCAGATAGCCAAGGCTTATAGATGCCAATTACAAGGGACCGAGCTCTGCTAAGCCTCAGAAGCCTGTAGTAAAAGGCAGCATGAGTCCAACACCAAGGGAAAGGTGAGATAATTATTGTTAGGTTAATATCCCGATGCAGTGAGAGCTGTAAAAACACAGGAAGGGCTTTTGACAATCCTGTCAGAGAGTAGGTGGTAGCATTTTCAATACAGCAGGACTGCACCGGCAGACCCACCTGCCTACCAGCACCACGAGGGAAGGGTGGTGAGCAACTTTAGGTTACGGTGACTTTTTCCTCCAGGATTACTGTTACACTGACTTTCTGTTCCACCATTGGAAAGGGGCCTGCTTCTGGAAGGCTCCCCTCTGGGAGTAGGAGTAGCCAAGCACCTGAGGTGGGACCTACCAGTGCTAGTGCAGTAGGTGCTCCACAAGTCCGTAAAGGAATAAAGAGAATCAGGAACAAACGGGTTGGGGCAATGAAAGTGGAAAACCATGTCAGGAGGAAAGAGGGCGTGACCACTGCCTGTGTGCAGAGCCTGGGAGGTTTAGGCTTAGAGCAGTCATCCTGAGAACTAAGGAGGAGGGACAAGGAACACCAAACAGCCAGTAACGTCTATTACCTGCTTACTGGCCTGCCCCCTCCCTTGGAAGCCAGCTTTAACTGTAGATTATTAGGTGTACCTAAGTGACCTGCTGACCTTTAGCCAGTCTAGGAAAATGAGTGGGTGACTCTGTCACCCGGAACAACCAGGTTGTCCATCCTCAATGCAGCTCAACTACAGCCTCCCTTTGGCTTCCCTAACTCCCCAGGCTGGGACCTATTCTACATCCCCTTTAATCCCAGCTCCGGAGGGGCTGATTGTGTTTGGGCGTCAGTGCCTAGCACTTCCTTCTCCTTCTAGGAATACCTAGGGTGGAGGGGGGCTGTTTGAACAGAGCTTCTTAACCTTGGATGCAGGATAGTAGAAACCCCTGGAACATGCAGGCAAAATTGTTAAAAATATATGTTGGTGGTGCTTTTTGTTAAATCTCACCTGAGGATATATTTTTAAAAATATTTCTATTGATTTCAGAGAGGAAGGGAGGGGAAGAGAGAGAGAAACATCAATAATGAAAGAAAATCATTTATCAACTGTGCTCCTGCACGCTCCCCACTGGGGATCGAGCATGCAACCCAGGCATGTGCCCTGATTGAGAATTAAAACATGACCTCCTACTTCATAGATCAACACTCAACTACTGAGCCACGGTGGCTGGGCTGAGGATATTTTTTCCATTGCTTTCCTTTTTTTCTTTTTGTTAATCCTCACCTGAGGATGTTTTTCCATTAGGGAGAGTGGGAGAGGAAAAGACAGAAACATCAATGGGAGAGAAGCACATCAATTAGTTGCCTCCTGCAGGAGCCCTGACCAGGGCACGGGCTGGGGAGGAGCCTGCAACCCAGGTACGTGCCCTTGACGGAACTCAATCAGGGACCCTTTGTTCAGCATGCCTATGCTCTATCCACTGAGCCATACCAGCTCCATTGCTTTTCAGAGGGTGTGAAAAGGAGAAAATGTGTGTTGAGGAGAGAGAAACAGTGATGTGAGAGATACACCGACTGGTTGCCTTCCGCACGTGCTAACTAGTAGTGGGGAGCAAATCCAAAAAAACCCAGGTATTGTTCTTGACCAGGAATCGAACCTGTGATCCTTTGTTGCACGGGCTGACACTGTAACCACTGAGCACTCTGGCAAAGGCTGTATGTGAGTTTTTCATAGTAAAGGCTGTGGCTTTTCATCAGATTCCCAAAGGAGTATCTAAAGATTCCTGTGTAAGTTGAAGATTCCTCATACATGCTCATGGACTGAATGCAGACATGTATACTAGCCACTACAAGTTTTCTGCTAAAATTCTGATTTGTTTTCAGTTGGCTAAAGAATTCTTAAAAATCTCAGAGAATAAGAGATATTACAAAAAACACCACCACCCCACCATGAGCTGTGCCTGGTGTGACTCAGTGGTTGGAGCACTGGCCCAAGCACCAAAGGGTCACAGGTTCCATTCCCAGTCAAGGGCGCATGCCTGGAAAGTTCATCCCCAGCGGTGCATGCAGAAGACAATCAATTGATGTGTCTCTCCCTCTCTCCCCCTCTTCTACTCTCTAAAAAAAATCTATGAAAAAAATATTCCTGGGTGAATATTACAAAAAAACCAAACACCCCCCCCAAAAAAACATACAAAAAATAAATAAATAAAACACCCATGAATAAGAAACAAATGGAAACCTTTACTGCTTTCCTTACCATCACTTAGACCACTCAGAGCTTTGGCCTGAATTTCAGGTTCAGGAGGAGGAACCGTTTTCTCATCTTGAGTTGGCGCAGGTTCAGCTTTCTTGACCTGGAGTGGACACCCACTGTTGACCAGCCAGGCCTTCAGATGATCTATGTACTCTCTCCCAAACAGAGTGGAGTCTTCAAAGTTGGGGAATGCGGCAGGGGAGGGAGCTATATCTTGAAGGCCGACAGCTTCTAAGATTTTCTCTTGCCGGAAAGAGGAGGCTAAGGAGAATGTCTGTCCCAAAAGAGCTAAAGACTTCCGGCAGAGAGAATTGGTGGTCTCTAGGGCAATGGCCAAGTCCAGGGGGTTGCTAAGGGTCTTCATTTTGACACTCAGCTCGTAGGCATTGCAGGCCATGAGCAGGGGCGTGACACTCTTTAGAAGCCGGTCTTGCAGCCTCATGATGTACTTGTCAAAGGGCTTTATGATTTCAAAAAAGCAATTTTTGGTCTTCACAGCACCTTTGTCTAAAAGCATGTTTAAAAACTCATTATCAACTCTGGGCGTTTTCAAAGCAGAGTGCTTTAAAAATTTGATAGTAAAAAAGCAAAAATCTCTGTGCTCTGGTTTTAAGGAGCATTTAAACGAGGCAAGCATTTTAGCACAGGTTTCAGTTTCAAGTTCAAAGAGAGTCTGGAAAAGCTGGGAAAATTTAACATCATCTTTTATGGTGTGAAATCCTGCCCATTTGATGATTTCTATCCCAAATCTTGAAAAAACATCAGACTTATCTATGATATCAAAACTCATTTTTCTTCTTGGGAGACGAATGTCCTTTAGATGGAGCCCCAGAGGGATCTTTTGCGCGGGGAATTGGGTATCTTCTGTCCCTGGGTTTACACCCAGGGTCACGTCAGAACTTGGGGTGGTTTTCTGGATTTGATTAGTGCCCTGAGTTTTGGGAGTGATACGATTTATGGTGGGTACTTTTTTTGTGCTCACATTCCTCAGGGTGACAAGTTTCCCAACCCCCGCTTTAGGTGTAAGCAGGCCCTGAGACTCCCCCTTTCCTAGGAGGGTACCCTCCTGGTCAACGATGTTTAGACCCCGGCCTCTGCCCTGGACTTGGCCACTGGCCCTGAGCACAGGGTCTGCCTCCCCTGGACGGTCCACGTCAAAATCCCGACTTTCTTTCTCCAAACACTCTTTTTCAATCAGCCTGGAGGACCCAAAGTCCCCCAGTAGTGCAGAAGGACCAAAATTATATTCCTGCGACCAAGACGATTCTTGAGAAACTGGGTGGCCAAGGTCTTGTTCCCAAGAGCCACGGAGTGTAAATTTCCAGTCTGGAGAACGGAAATGTCCCAATTTCCGGTGGCCAAAGATCTGTTCTCGGGAGTCAGGGTGGGGAAATTCCAGATCTCGGCCACAGTCTTTGCGAAAATAGTTGTCTTCATTGACAGAAGGATTGTTTGACCTGAAGGAAGGTCCTGGGAATACATCACCTCTCAGGCCTTCCCTCGCAGCATCTCGAGAGTGAGCTACAGATGCACCCAGAGTGTATCTGCTGTCGCTGTGAATGTCGTCATACATATCTGCTCTGACTCTTGGCAGTGTCCTTATAAGATCTGAAATAAACAATCCAAAAGGAAACACAAAGGTACTTTAGACCAGAAAGTACAAAGGACAGTCCGTAGAATACCAACCAGCTGGAGTGCTTTATCTGTCTGAGTGCATTTTCAAAATTCCTATCTGTTGCCATTATTTAAAATGTGTGTGGTTTTCCTTAAACCTGGAATTACTACTTTTTATTCAAAAAGAGACCTACAAGCACTGGGCCTGCATCTATCCTGACGATCCTGCATCAAGGCTGGGTAGCAGTGCTCTTTAATCACTCAGGTCTCCTGCCCTTGCTCAGGAGGCATTTGGCTTACAAGCCCTTCTTTAGACTCAAAGAAGGGTGTTTGGCTCTCAAATAACCTGGCTTTTAAAAATATATCTTTTTATTGACTTCGGACAGGAAGGAAGAGGGAGAGATAAAAACATCAACGATGAGAGAGAATCATTGATTAGCTGCCTTTTGCACACTCCCTACTGAGAAATGGAGCCTGCATGTGCCCTTGACCAGAATCGAACCTGGGACCCTTCAGTCCGCAGGCCAACACTCTATCCACTGAACCAAACCAGCCAGGGCAACCTGGATTTTTTTTTTTTTTACTATAACTGGGACACTACCTCTATCATGAAGCACACAGGCTTTTTAGAGGTTGCCACCCTCCTTGCCTTCTAGTAGGAACTCTCAGCCTATACTGCCACTGAGGCAAAAGCCACGTCTGACACTGTACCCACTACAGCAGACTGGGCCACAGCTGAATATCTGACCCAAAGCTGGCAGATACACTCTCTCTGAAAGGTTCACTGAGCCAATGACCCTCTGAAAAAAACAGAGGCTAAAGCAGATAAGAGAGAAGGCAGAAGCTAAACAAGCCATCAAGAGAGGCCACAAAGGGAAGTAAATAATATGTGATTTTGTCCTCTCCTGTGTGTAGAAATTAGGAAAATAGAATCTATATTTGCATTTGCTTATTCATGTACAAAGAAGCTCTCTAAGAAGGTAGGAACATAAGCAAACTATGATCCTCAAGGAAACTTTGCACAGAGAGTCTTTCTAACCTTTTTTTTCTTTTTTAAATATGTTTATTGATTTCAGAGAGAAAGAGAGAGGGAGAGAAAGAAACATCAATGATGAGAATCATTGATTGGCTGCCTCCTGCACGCCCTACACTGAAGATTGAGACTGCAACCCGGGCATGTACCCTGACTGGGAATTGAACCACGACCTCCTGGTTCATAGGTCAACACTCAACCACTGAGCCACGCTGGCCAGGCTCTTTCTAACTTTTAAATCGGAATCTATTACCTAGTCAAAAGTCAAATGAAAAAAGGGAGAGAGAGATGCCATGAGGTAGTAATATCAGCTGACTTCTGGAGATGTGCTCACAACCAAGGTACATGCCCTTGAACAGAATCGAACCTGGGACCTTTTAGTCTGCAGGCCGACACTTTATCCATTGAGCCAAACTGGTTAGGGCGGAAGCCAAATCTTTATACAAATCTAAGTTCATTTGGTCAGCAGTACTTACTGAGCACCTACTGTGTGTGGGCACTGCTTTAGGCACTGAAGTTAACAATATACCAGGGATGCTGAAACTGGTTTGGTTCAATGGATAGAGCGTTGGCCTGCAGACTGAAAGGTCCCAGGTTCTATTCCGGTCAAGGGTATGTACCTTGGTTGCGGGCACATCTCCAGTAGGGGGTGTGCAGGAGGCGGCTGATCAATGATTCTCTCTCATCAATGTTTCTAACTATCTATCCCTCTTTCTTCCTCTCTGTAAAAAAATCAATAAAATATATTCAAAACAAAACAAAAACAAAACAAAAACAAAACAAAAAACCCCACAATATACCAGGGATGCTTGGCATGGCTCCCCCACAGTCACACTGTGGGGGAGCCTTCCAGGCAGAGGGAGTGTATGACCAGCAGGGAATGAATATACCAGAGGGAACGAATATACCAGTCACACTGTGGGGGAGCCTTCCAGGCAGAGGGAGTATATGACCAGCAGGGAATGAATATACCAGAGGGAACGAAGGGCAAAGTGGTAAGAAGGCAGCTCCTAAACTCTGTTGCATGTTGGAGTCCCTTTGGGACCCCCAGGCATCCCCCCTGATCTAATTAACTAACTAGCATGGGGGTGTGACTTGGACATCAAGGTTTTTTAAAGATCCCCAGATGATTCTAACATGGAGCAAATTTAGGGAGATACAGATGGAAGGAAGGTACAAGATCCAGTCTGGCCCTAAAAGGGATGCTGGAATAGTCTGAGTAAGACGGAAAGCCACAGATAGACTCAGAGCAAAGGAATGATCTCACTGGCTCCTGTGAGGGCAATAGACCAAAAGGGAAGAAAGTGAATGTTGATGTTCCAGCGAGGAGCCCACTGGGATGATCTAGGTATTAATGACTGACGACGTGGTGAGGGAGGTAGCATTAGAGGTAGAGTGGTGGCTGGTTTCTGCACAACAGGATTTCCCGATGCCTTGTAAACCAAGGCATTGGAAAAGTGCAGAGTAGAACAGGGACAGAGCAAGTCCAACTTGATGAACCATGCAGCTCTGTGACAAAGAGATGGTTCCAGAACCTTCTAGCATCCCATTTGGTTACTAGTTCACCCTTCCCAAAACTTTTTTGAGGTAACAATATATGTATTGGTGTTTGAGTCTCTAGAGAAAGATACCCAGATTTATGTCTCTGTATACAGTGTGTCCCCCAAAATGTATAGAGACATAAATCTGACAAAATCAGCTGATAGCTCAATTTCAAAAATGAAGTATATCTTAATAAACACTGCCTTTATAATTATACGAAGTGTGTGTATATATTTTTTGGGGCATCCTATATACATATACATGCACATATAAGTACATATAGGTATATGTCTCTGTGTGTGTGTGTGTACATATATATAAACACATAAGTATTCTGGATTACATATTGCTAAAAGAATTGAAGGATGCACAGACTACTACAAATATAGTTACTTCTTACGGTTAAGAATTCAGCTAAAAAGACTTTTACATTTTACTCTTAACCATTTCTCAAGTCTTTCAATCTTTTATAACAGGTATGTTTCTGTGCACTACTCATATAATTTTTGAAAACTCAATCAGTTGGTTTCTCCAGGTCCAAAGCATGTAACAATTATCCCTACTGCACGCACTTTAGACTCACTCAACCAATGCTAAGAAACCCTCCTCCATTCAAGGCTGGCTCAGGGGCTGGCGCAGCAGCAAACAGCACAGGCCCAGCGATGAGGCCTGAAGGAGGCCAGCCCATAACAGAGGAGTGAGCACATGGTGTACTTGGGGCTGGGAAGGGCAACCAAATCAACCTCAAGTCCTGCTGGGGCTTCCTGAGGAAGGCATGCTGGAGGGAATCAACCAGGCAGAGCTGGGATGAGGAGGGACTCAAAGCACAGAGAGGTGGCACAGTATCATTGAAACAAAGCCCAAAGTAAAGAGTAAGGGTTGGGAGCCTCATGCATGGTTGTAAGGGACTTCCACATCATCCTGTATTCTGTGTGGGCTCCATTATTTATTCTGCTGGCATGGTGTTTCAAAACTTTCCAAAGGGAAACATTTTCAGGCAGGGCCTATTCTCAGCAGCACCACAACCCCTTGCACCACCCTGCAGTCTTGCACACATCGCTGTTACCTCCCTGCTCCTGCACTTGTCTGAGGATGTAACCCCAAAGTGGGAAGCCCCGAGAGTCCAAACAGGGCCTTGGCCCAGCAAGGTTGGCACTAATAGATCTGTAGTCAGGGCAGATTTGAGAGGAATGAAGCCAGAAGCTGAGAGACCGTTCAGTAGATTATCATTGAAATAATCTAAGCCAGAACTGGTAAGGGCTCAAACCTTAGCAGTGGTGGTGGGATGGAGCCAGAAGATTAATTCAAAAACATTTCTTTAGGTTGAGGGAGGCTTTCTGGGGAGAAGTTCCTGGTAAAATAACACCTTCTTCTACACAGAGACTTAACATGCAGATCCAGAGAAAACTTCATTTCTCCTTAACAAATTGGGATATAGGGATTGAAATCCTCCTGCTCTGACCCTAAATGCCTCCTCACCTGCCTCCCCCCCCCTCAGTTCCCAATCAAGCACTTTAATTTACCTTGAGCTTTAAATTGCAGAGCTTCACCTACAGCCTCCCCACTGGGGTCCATGTGGTATCTGATAGCTTTTTCTTGTAGCACAGCATCAAATGTCTCCTGTGCAATTCGCCTTGTAGCCATGTTTCTCTGACCTGCAGCCGAGGGGAAAAGACACTAAGAATGACAACGAATGCTCAAGAGAGCCGGCTCTCTATTTCACCTCATCTTCAAAATAAGGAGGCAGTAATCCATAATCCAGCCAGGTACTGCTGAGAAAGGTCGGATTATTTCTAGGGGTCTCTGCTCTCAGGAAGCTCACAGGTGTGTGTTGACTGAAAAGGAGCAAGACAAGCGCTGTGATCTTGGAGGAGTTATTTTGTTTCTCTAAGACCATTTCCTCAGAATCCTTCGAAAGCTCTCTAAAAAAAAGTCCTCATCTCCTGGGGTTGCTGGAGCATTGCAAGAAGCAACATGCATCACTGAAGATAACAGTAAGGTCGTGGGAGCATAACCCTCTCACAGGGTTATGTGAAAAGGTGTGATTGTACCCATGTTCCAAACAGAGCCAACGACCCTCCAGAGAAACCTCCCGCAGGAATCCCCGACTAGTAACAATGAGCTAGTGACAGTTGCAGGGAAGGAACTCCCGTGACCTCATTTACTTGCAACAATCCAATGAAGTGGGTCCCCCGTTATGAATGACATGAAACAGAAGAGGAAACGGGAGCCTTATGCTAAGTGACTCACCCAAGGTCAACCATCCAGGGCTGAAACCTGGCAAACAACACTAGTAGTGGGGACAAAGCCTGAAGACTAAATAGAAAAAGACTAAGAAGCCAAACACGGAGGAATCCCGTGGCGGCCCGTCCTTAAACACCAAGATATTCCTTCCAACTTGAAACCTCCAACCCAAGACCCAAGCCTGCGCCTGCCTTGCAGTCTTCCCTCTAACCATCGTCTCCTTTTCCATCCTTTAGTCCTTTTCCTAGGGCGCCCCTTGTTCTCTACTGGCGAAGGGAAGGGTCTTCCCTGGCCCGGGACCAAATCAAGCGACCTAACCTCTCTATATCTCCGTTTTGACCAGCTATGGAATGGGCAGCTAGTGATGGGGGTTGCTGTAGGGATTGAACCCGTTAAAAATGGCAAAGGGCCCTATACAGCGAGCGCCCTGCCTCCGTGATCGCCTCACGCGAAAGGCCGCTTCGGGCTCGGGTGGAATGAATGAGCGAGGAACCGAATGAACCCCTTTGGGTGCGGTCCGCCGGCTCCCGGCCTCCGAGGGCGGAGAAAAAGGGGGCCTCGGGCCCCGGAGGCCGCAGACCGCCCCACCAGGCCGACCCGTCCGGGACGCGGCCGTCGTGCAGCCCGAGGGCCGAGCCCGCGGCGCAATCGCAGGGGGACACGGGGCCCGCTCCGGGCCGAGCCCGAGCCCCCAGACCCCGGGGCCCACCCACCGACAACGCGCGGGGCCGGGCCTCACCCCGAGCCCACCGAGTGCGGAGTCGCCCCCGCCGACGCCAGAGCTCCAGCCACCACCTTCGCCACCGCCCCCGCCGCCGCCGCGCGAGGCGGGGACATGCAAATGAGCCAACGGTCCCTGCAGCGCCGCGCCGCGCAGGCGCAGGTCCAACCCGCGCCCTGGTGCGCATGCGCAGGGGGCCGCGGCCGCGCCCTCCGGTACCGGCGCGCTACCTGCTTCTTCTGGACGGAGGCTCCGAAGGCGGAAAACTTCCTTGCCGGAGGCGCCGGTAACCCGGAGCAGCCTGGAGAAAGCGGCAGAGACACCGCCGCCGCGCACCAGTTTGCCTCTTTGGCTTTCCGTGCGCTCTCAGCCACCCTTGGTCCACCTGGGCGCGGGCCGCTTGACTGGGGAAGGCCGAGGCGAGGCGGCGCCAGCGAGCCTGCGCGCTTACGGCGGCCAGAAGGGGCCAGAGGCGGTGCCGCCAGTGACAGACGCGAGCCCCACCTTTCCCACGTGGCCGCGGAGACCGGGTGAGAAGCTGCAGCCGCCGAGGCCCCTCGCGCGCGGGGCGGGGAGTGGGCGCCGCAGGGCCGGGCTGGTGACTGTGGACAGTCCTTGAGGACTTGCTTTTGGAGCATGACTCTTACAGAAGCCGCCCTGGGGGGGGGGGGGGGGCGGAGGGGACAAAACTGCCCCCTTCCCTGGCCTCCGAGGGTTCAGGCCTGGGTACTGAGTGCCTGCTGGTACCCGGCTCCGTCCTAGACAGTGAGAAAAAGGTGAAGAATAAGATGGATTGGACCCAGCTTTCATGGAGCTTAAATTTCATTGGGGAGGAGGCTAGACAATACAAGCAAATAAATAAATGAGCCATGTCACTCTTGATAGAGATAATATTCAAATAAAAAAAGAGATGCGAAAGGAGGTGGAGGCTGCTAACCAGAGTGATTATGAAGGATGTCCCTTGGACAGCTGGGAAGAATGAGAAAGAGGCAGGAAGCACAGATGAGGAGGTCTAAGTAGGAAAAGAGCTGGTAAAGAGACTGGTAAAGGGTTTTATTTTCCGAGAGTTGGGACACCACTGCAGGATTTTGATCAGGTAAGAAGGTGGTCTCTATGGGAATAGATGCTCAGGGTGTGGCTGGGAGGAAGCAGGCCAGGCCACCCAGGAAGGATAGTGCCTGAATAAGGGTGGGTGTAAAGGGTGGAGGAAGATGAATCATTCAAAGCCCCTGATGTTTCCATGTACCATTTTCTTGAGCAGAGGTCTGGCTGTCAGATAGGATCTTGCTATTTCTCTTCCTCCCCCAACACCTTGGACCCTCTCTTGGCCCTGGCTTTTCCCCAGGTGACTCTCAGATGATCATCCTCAGGCACCATCTTTCTCATTCGTTCTTGATTGATAGTTTTGTCCCAGCCCAGCCTGGTGCTGGACCTAGGAGATCCTATAGGATCTCAGAGATGGTCCCAGAGCCAGACACTGATCACCCAGCTCTGGGCTGGGCAGAGGGAGGTTTGTGGGGTGAGGTGGAGTGGGAGGTGCAGAGCAAGGTCAGAGAGCACAGGCTCTATCTGAGTAGCTAGGGAAGGCTCCCAAGGGGAGGTGCCCTGGAAGGCCAGTGGAGATGTGGGAAGGGCAAGTTCCCAAAGGGTACCCAGCCAAGAGGGTTCTTAGCTTCGCACAAGAAGTAATTCAAGATACGAGCCAGTCAAGAGGTTAGAGTGGAAGCAATTTTATTGAGCAGAGAGGACAAGCAAGAAGAGCTACGCCACACGCAGGGTGGTGGACTCTCCTTAAAAGAGAAGGAAGAGAGACCCCCAACTGTCTCTAGAGGTTGAGCTTATATGTTTGTAGTTTCTTTGGAAAATTACTGGTTTGGGGAAATAAAGAGTGGAAAAACGGGATTAACTTTAACCGTCACAAGGTATATTTTGTGGTCTCTTTTTTTTTTTATGGTATGGCTAAATGATAATGTATGGGTGAGTAGATATTAACCAGTCTTCGCAGGAATTTTTTTTGTTCCAGAGGCTCCTTGTGGTCTGCTTGCATCTCTGGACAGCCAAGTTCTGTCAGACAACATGTCGGAGGCCCCTGACTTCACTTGACATTAGTTAATTTATGCAGTTCTCATGTACCTCTCCTACATTAGAAGTTCCTTAGACTAGAGCACCAGTGAAGGAAAGATGTCATGAGGCAGGATAGGTAGCTTGATGGCCAGGCCTTTTACTGCCTGTATGGCCTCTGGTGGGCTCTTCCCTCTCTAAGATTCAAATTCCTCATGTAAAGTATGCTTCCTCCGCCCACCCACCCCTTTTAAAATTGATTGTAGAGAAAGGAAGGGGAGAGAGAAACATCCATTTGTCCCACTTATTTATGCGTTCATTGATTCTTGTATGCGTCCTGTCTGGGGCTCAAACCCCTAATCTCGGAACCGTGCTTTAACCGGGGCAGTGTGCATTCCCTTTTACAGCTGTGCCTTTGTGACAGGGCAGCTACTCACCGCACGGTCTGAAGTATGACCAGTGTGATGGAAGTAATGTCGAATGGCAGAGTCAGGAGTGGCAGGCACCAGCTTGGAAGTTTCTGATTCCTTGGAGTTGGCCATAGAACACCCCACCATCACCTGCCTGGACTTCCCACTGAGAAACTATCTCAAAACAGAAAACCCTTGCCCTAACCGGTTTGTTTCAGTGGATAGAGTGTCGGCCTGTGGACTCAAGGGTCCCAGGTTCCATTCCAGTCAGGAGGCAGCTGATCGATGTTTCTCTCTCATTGATGTTTCTAACTCTATCCCTCTTCCTTCCTCTATGTAAAAAAAACAATAAAATATATTATAAAACAAAACAAACAAACACACCCCCACCCCTCGAAAATCCTTATGTTTTCCTTCACTTTGACTTTAGCAACTCCTGAATAGACTGCTTGTTCTGGGGCAGAAAGGAGTGGGGACTTGTCTGCAAGGGAGGGAAACAAGGTGGGCTATTTGATGCCCTTCCACTTCTTTTTTTTTTTTTTTTTTTAACATATTTTATTGATTTTTTACAGAGAAGAAGGGAGAGAGAGAGAGAGCTAGAAACATGGATGAGAGCTGCCTCTTGCACACCCCCTACTGGGGATGTGCCCGCAACCAAGGTACATGCCCTTGACCGGAATCGAACCCGGAACTTTTCAGTTCGCAGACCGATGCTCTACCACTGAGCCAAACCGGTTTCGGCCCCTTCCACTTCTTACATCACAAAGAAATTGGCTATTTTACCTCTTAAGCAGCAAAGGAAAGGAATTAATAAGTAACATTTATTAAGCTCTTACTCTATGCCAGATCCTGTTCTAAGTGCTTTTTAAGAATTAACTGGTTGAATTTTCACTGTAGCCCTAAGAGGTAGAGTCCCTGTATCACCCATGAGGGAATTGAAGAAGGAGGTTATGTGGAGGGTTTGGGATTTGGATGCTACCCCTGCAGGCCCCAGAGCCTGTCCTCCCTGCTGGCGTGTCTGCACAAACGGAATGTTCGCATCCTGTGCCACCTCCGCAAAACGGAGCATGGGCTGGAGTGGCCTGTTTCCACAGAGCCCAGTTTGCCCTTGGATTTTTGCCAGAATCCAGTACCACTGTCCTAGTGTCCCCGTATCTTTGTCCTCCTAATACATTTTCTGTGTTGTGTGATTCTAGATTGGACCTGTGATCAGAAACAAATTGTTTTAAAAGATCGTATTAAGGCAATTGAGGAATTTGATCAGGGATTATTAGATCTAGAGCTGTGTTGTTTAATAAGGCAGCACCGCATCACTTAAAGCTATTTACATTAAAATGAATTACAAATAAGTAAAGGTGCACATTCAGTATCTCAGTTGCACTAGCTACATTTCAACCTTTCAATCCCAGATGGACTGTACAGATACATAACACTGTCATGGCACAGAGTTCCTTCCACTGGATGCATGGTCAGATTCAGATCAGGTTTTGGCAGGATAACTTCACAGGTGCATTTCGTCTGGGCAGGAGGTAGGTGGTGTTGGGTTTTTCTTTTGATATGAAATCATGCAATGGACACATACTATGCACCTGATGTCAGGTTCATCATCCTTTTAAAAATATATATATATTTTATTGATTTCTCGCAGAGAGGAAGGGAGAGGGATAGAGAGCTAGAAACATCAATGAGAAAGAAACATCGATCAGCTGCCTCCTGCACACTTCCTACTGGGGATGTGCCTGCAACCAAGGTACATGCCCCTGACTGGAATCGAACCTGGGACTCCTCAGTCCGCAGGCCGATGCTCTATCCACTGAGCCAAACTGGCTTCGGCTGACATGACTTCTTCAGAAGCTTCCTTACATTCTGCTCTCACAAGATGCTCCTAGTTCTCCTGGCCTATTTCCTCCCCAGAACTGGAATCAGCCATTTCTTCAGGAGTCCTGGTTATCGTAGTTTGAGACCACGGTTGTGTTTGGAGTGCTTATTGCTGCTGTGGTGTCATTTCCTCTAGGCATTTTCAGTTGATATAACTATAAAAATTGGGGGGGGGGGGTACTTAAAAGAATATATATCATAAGTTTGTATTGATACTTCCAGTTCAAATTTTAAAATTCTGAATTTTTTACTTTGATTTTCTTATTTTAGAATCTTTTTTCTGTTATGCTGGCACCTAATGACATAAACCTTATTACTTATTTGCTATATCTACAGTAGTTTCATAATAACATTAGTAATGTAGATTTTCTTTTGTATTTTTATACTATCCTAAGCATATCTATATATATATATAAAAAGGCAGTGACTATGACGACTGAAGGCTTCACTGAACACCGGAAGTCAATCCTGCAGTCAATGGTGGGTTGTCTTGGTGACCCAGCACTGACTGCTGCCACTGCAGGCGCAGAGACCCAGCACTGACTGCTGGGGAGGCTATGGATCGGGCCAGGAGAGAGGCATGGAGAGAGAAGCAGGGTCTGATCCGTAGCCTCCATAGCAGCTGTTGAACAGCCCTTGCCTCTCTCTTTCTCTCTGGGCCTGGCCAGCAGTGTGCCTCTCTTCCTCTCCAGGCCTCCGCATGGGGGCTACTGATCAGCCCTGCCTCTCTGATCAGGTCCGGAGATAGGCCCAGAGACACTGACTGGCATAGAAACCGACCAGTCAGAACCAAATCTGGGTGAATTGTGAGCAGCAATAGAAGGCAGAGCCTTTCACACTGACTGACATAGAAACCAACTAGTCAGAACCTAATCTGGGTGAACTGCGAAGACAGAACCTAAGATGGGGCTGAGAAGGGGTTTTAAGGCAGTTGGGGGTGAGATCAGGTCGGCAGGGGAGGGCAGTTAGGGGTGATCAAAGAGGCAGAGGCAGTTAGGGGTGATCAAACGGGCAGAGGCAATTAGGGGCGATTAGGCCACAGGGGAGAGCAGTTAGGGGTGAGATCAGGCTGGCAGGGGAGGGCAGTTGGGAGTGACCAGGCCTGCAGGGGAGGGCACTTGGGGTGACCAGGCCTGCAGGGGAGGGCAGTTAGTGGTGACCAGGCCAGCAGGGGAGGGCAGTTATAGGTAATCAAACTGGCAGGAGAGCAGTTAGGTGCCAATCAGGCTGGCACAGGAGTGGTTAGGGGGTCATCAGGCTGGCAGGCAGAAGCGGTTAGGGGCACTCAGGCAGGCACGTGAGTAGTTGGGAGTCAGCAGTCCTGGATTGTGAAAGGGATGTCTGACTGCTCTTGAGGGGTCTCAGATTGGAGAAGGTGCAGGCTGGTCTGAATTTCATGTGCCGAGCCTTTAATATATATATAAAGCCAGTGTTCCTAATGACTGGAACAATCAAATGACCAGTTGCCGTGAGGTGGCATAGACCACTTCTCGGACCTTCTCTTCCCTTTCCTGCCTGTTAGCGGGGCGAGAGCAGGACTGGTGACCTCTTGGTCCCTCCCCGCAGCCCGTAGGTTCCAATGGATCAGCGATGGTGAATGGGGGGATCGGGGTGGTGGCGGGAGGACTGGCTGGCTGTCAGACCTTTGGGATTACCAGCTTATCCCTGGCTGTTTGGGGGCTCAGGCCTGCGGGAAAGTGGGCGCTATCAACTTCACCTCCGTGTGTGTGCGGGGGCCAATCACTGATGGAATGCGCTGTCAGCTCGGAGCCGCTTGGTGGGTAGGTTGTGGGCCCGCCCTGCAGCCTCTTGTCAGTGCTTCAAGCCCCAGCAGCAGTGGTAGCAGCAGTGGTGGCGCCTGCATGAGTGGCCCAAGCAGGCAGTACATTCCATCAGCTGCCGGCCAAGCACATGCGCATGGAGGTGAAGTCTCCAGAGTCTATTTTCCTGCAGGCCTGAGCCCCAGAGCAGCCAGGGATGAGCTGGTGATCCTAATGGCCTGATAGCTCATCAGAGGAGGCGGCATTTGGCCTATGGACTGGCGAGTAGGCAGAAGATGGCCCTGACTGCAGGAGGCTAGGCCTAGGGACCCTACCCGCAGGATTTAATTGTGCGCGGGCCGCTAATATACTAGTGAGCATGTACGGTCACATCGCTGTGTTTTAAAGTCACATGAAGTGGTCTGATCAGCACAAATATACTCTTAGATTTGTGGGCTTCATTTTATTCTTGTGGTTTTTTTTTTTTTTTTATTGCTTTTCTTTTTATTGGTTTATCTCTTTTTCTAACCACATGAAACATTTATATGGGTTCCAAATTCAAACCTGTAAGACAAAGTAAATTCAGAGAACAATCCAGCTTCTAGTACTATCCTCAGCACCCTTTTCTCTGCCTCTCTTTTCAAGAAACTATTTCTATTAGTTATTTAGTTTTCCTCTTTGTTAATTACTTTATTAATTTTTATTTTAAAACCTTATTAGAATAACAATATATTATTATAACAATACTGGAAGCCCAGTGCATGAAATTCGTGCACTGGTAGGGTCCCTAGTGGCTGCAGGCTACTGATTGGGTACTCCTTCCTTTCCACCCCTGAGCCACACTGGCCAGGGCAACATTCTCCCTTTCTTATAAAGTACTAGAGGCCCGGTGCATAAAATTCATGCACTGGGGTGGGGTCCCTCAGCCTGGCCTGTGCCCTCTAGCAATCCGGGAGCCCTCAGGGATGTCTGCTTGCCAGCTTAGAGTGGGCCTAAGTTGGCAGTTGGACATCCCTCATGCAGTCCGGGACCCCTCGCTCCTTACTGCCTGTCTCCTGCTCCTTAGCGCTGCCACGGATGCAGGAGAGGCTCCTGCCACCACCACTGTGCTCGCCAGCCGTGAGCCTGGCTTCTGGCTGCATGGTGCTCCCCCTGTGGGAGTGCACTGACCACCAGGGGGCAGCTCCTGCATTGAGCATCTGCCCCCTGGTGATCAGTGCACATCATAGCGACTGGTCGTTCTGGTCGTTCCACTGTAACGGTCACTTAGGCTTTTATTATATAGGTATATAGTAAACTACTTGCCCTCTTCTGCACTTTTAAAAGTTCTAGGGGTGTTGGGATATCACCCTGTCCTATGATGCATGTTGTAAAATTTTTTCCAGATGTTCATATCACTGCAGCCTTAGTAGATACTCCTTAAATAGTGATTGGGCTCCCAACTGCCCTCTTGCCCTCAAAGAAGCTTTCTTTTCACCTTAACTTCTCAGCTCAGGAGCATCTATTGGGTGCCTACAGCCCATGAGGAAGGAATGAAGATGGCCACCAAGCGGATTACCCAGGAGACGTTTGATGCAGCTGTTCGTGAGAACATCGAGGAGTTTGACATGGGGCCAGAGGAAGCAGTGACAGAGGCTGTGGAGCAGTTTGAATCACAGGGTAGGGTCGTATGGCTCGGTCACAGCGCTGATCCAGCAGTTTGCCTGACAGTCCCGTCTGGTCCACTGTCTTAATGTGTTAGAGTGCTGTCCTGCTGTGGCCCCACCTCAGCTGACATGGGCCCCGTACTCTCTCCAAGTTCTGACCTGGGCAGGCTGGCTACCTGCTCCCACCTCCCTGGGTGCCTACCCTCTACTTGCCTAGGCCTTACCCAGACATCTGCAGGGCTGCATACTTCAATATGAGTCTCATTTTAGTATATGTGCTGCCGAAGCGAGCACTGGGCCTCATTTTAATTGTCACTTGCATGAAGAGGCTTTTCCTGGCCAGGTCCCAAGAAACAGGGCCACCTGCCTCACCACACCCTGGCTTGAGCTTAAGAAGGCATAAGTGGGTGTCAGTCACCTACCTGTAGAAACAGTTGTTATGCTCAAACCAGGCCACAGAGGGGAGTGGTTTCAAAAAGGGTTATTTAGCCCAGCCAACTGTGGCTCAGTGGTTGAGTATCGACCTATGAACCAGAGGGTTTGTTTCCCAGTCAGGCCACATGCCTGGGCTGTGGGCTCCATTCCCAGAGTGCAAGGCAGCTTATCGACGATTCTTTATCATCATTGATGTTTCTATCTCTCTCTCCCTCTCCCATCCTCTCAGAAATCAATTTTTAAAAATATTAAAACAAAACAAAACGGGTTGTTTGTAGTGGCATGGTTGGGAACTAGGAGACCCTATAGGCCACGGTAGGAAGCTCTCCCACCCCAGGACAGGCCTTTGTCAAATGACAAAGGATGAGTCAGGGAGCTGGAAATGAACGCCGGCCCTATCACTCCAGACCACATGTGTCAAACACAAGGCCCACGGGCCAAATCCGTCCCGCCAGGCCTTGCAGTGTGGCCCGCACCGCGCTGTCATCACTGCACTCCGCTGCGTTTCCATCACAATGACAGTTTATGACTGTTCAGTAAACCATTCGGCCCGCGATTTAGGCTGGATTTTAGATTTTGGCCCCTTCTCTGATTGAGTTCGACACCCCTACTCCAGACCAAGAGTCGGATTCCCCGCTGGCCAAACCCAAGGGAGACCAGGTATTCAGCCTCAGAGGCCAGAGGCTGGTGTCCTGGCCACAGAGTGGGATATAGTCACTGAATAATGGCTGGAGGAGTACTCAGAAGTATCCTTCCAATGAGGGCAGGGATATAGCCAGGGTGAGGAATAATAGGAGCTCCAAGGGAGGATCCCCTCCCTTCTTAGCCCACCAGGCAGAATGTGCCTCTTGCTGCAGTGATGGCATGCAGCCTCACTGCTGTTCTACTCCCATTGGCTGGACAGGCTGAGGAGTAAAGACCCACCCCCTTCACCTCGCACCTCCACCTCCGTATGGACATGGCTGTTAAGTCTGGCCTCTGTGGGGAAGGGGGGGATGGGTACCTACGGAGGCCTGCTGGGATGATGGCTGTAACTTGTTTCCTCATTCCTCCACTCCCCTGCAGGGGTCGAACTGAGCAACATTATAAAGATGGCACCCAAAATCTCTGCAGATGGACTACAGGAGCCTATACACGACATCCTGCAGGTAGGAGGAGGTGGCCCATGTGGGCAGGGCTGACCTTACATGCCTGTTCCCATTCATGTCACCTTCTAATAGCCTGTCAGAGGTACCTTTTCCCTGGTTTCCATTCTGCAGGAGGCTAGGCCTAGGCTTTGAAGGTCAGGGAATGGCCAGCGTTTGCAGGTGGGCCTGAGTTTGCATCTAGGGCTCCCTGAGAGTCTCTTGGGGGGAGGGGGGGCCACCATGGAGGAACCTCTTTTTAGCTTTCCGACCACCAAGTTTGCTCAGAGAGAGTGGGATCATAGTAAGGCTGTCATCTATGACTATTTACCAGAACATTACAGCCTTTCCCTGAGCACTTAAACTGGCCTGTAGAGTAGGCGGTATTGTTCCTGAATTACTGATGGGGAAATGGAGACTCAGAGCCTGCTCTGGCTCTCTAGTAACCCAAACAAGGAAGGTATACATTAGGAATTGAACTACGTTTTTTTCTTTCTAGAGATGTGACATCTGTATTTTCTGGTCAGTAATGTCCTATCAAACATTGTGCTAAGCCAATGTACTAAATCAAAGCAGATAGGCCAACAGGAAAGCTGTTTGCTATTTCCTATTCCTGCTGAGCTAAACTAGTAGAACATTGTCTTAGTAAGAAGATTTTGATAGGCAGAGGAATTGCAGACTCTCTACGTCAATGAAAATCCTAACAGATTTATACAGGAAAAGCTGAAGCAAACCTACATAACCTCTTAATATGCTATAATAAAAGGAGAAAGTAATACCTTTATTCTACTTCTGGTATAAGCGCACATTCACTGGTGCCCAGTGAAAGAGAAGCACTGACATAGAAAGCATTTTCACTTTTATAGCAGTGACAGCAGAAAAGCACACAGCATATAATATGTTGATCTTAAAGTAGGTAGGTATTTGTGGAAGTTGCAAAATTAGCCTGAATATTCTGTAAAATATTTTTTCAAAAATGCTTAAAAGAGAGTTCTAGAAACAGTGAGGCTACATCAAGACCAGCAAAAGACATAGTGATTCAGGGACTGCAAATGTAATACATCCCTGGGAGGGTTTGATCCTCAGGCCAGTGGGTTGGAGGATTGACTGCTACTAGAGCTGAAGAGCTGCTATGCAAGAACCAACCCATGGAGCAGGGCTTGCTTTATTGGAGCTTTGATTCTCACCGAGTCCCCCCTTGAGTGTGTCACTTGTGGAAATGGCAAAGTTGTAATCTGGCATGTCTGAAGCTGACCATCAAGTGCACTTGCTCTGGTGCCTCTGGGAGGTAGAAAGTTAGCCACTGCCTGTGTCCTGCCCAGGGTCACTCAGCAAGAGCTACAAAGCAATCTGCAGATGGCTACTACTTGTGTTGGGTTTGGAGGTGTCCCGGAGAGGCCAACCTCTGAATCAAGGAAAGCTGCTGCTAGTGCTGGACCTGGGGCCATTTATTGAAAGATATGGGGTATGCTGAGGCCATCTGCAGCTTGTTTAAGAGACTTTAGGAAAGTCCAAAGCATGAAGCAAGAGAGACCAGTTGTATGGCAAAGCCCCTTAGATGAGCCTGCAAGTAGGGAGATGCAGGGTCTCGGAATCATTAGGGTGGGCGAAAGTGTGAACTGGCTGATGGAGATTTAGGTACTGCCCCTGCCTGTTAGCTCTGTGGCGGGGGAGGACTCATCAGAGAAACAATGGCCTCTGCCAGCACTTCTATCTGGGGGAAAGCTGCCCCTCCAGCTCTTGCCCTGATTCCAGACAAGTTAGTTCCTCCCTGTATGTCCCTGGTTTCTTTCAAGCTGCTACCCTGTGAGTGGGCCCTTTAAGAGGAACTGCCTAGGGCTACAGCAACCTCCATGTCACTCAGTCACAATCCCTGCTGGTATAAAATTTTTATTTATTTATTATTGATTTCAGAGAGGAAGGGAAAGGGAAACAGAGATAGAAACATCAATGAGAGAGAATCATTGATTGGCTGCCTCCCGTACATCCCCTACTGGGGATGGAGCCTGCAACCCGAACATATGCCCTGACTGGAATCGAACCATGACCTCCTGGTTCATAGGCAGACACTCAACCATTGAGCCACGCCAGCCACAGCTATACCACAGCTTTTTATTTATTTTATTTTTCTTGATTTCAGAGAAAATGGGAAAGAGAAAACATTAATGATGAGAGAGAACCATTGATTGGCTGCCTCCTGCATGCCCTCTCCTGGGAACTGAGGCCACAAAATGGGCATGTGTCATGACTGGGAATCAAACTGACTTCTTTGTTCCTAGGTCAACCCTCAACCACTGAGCCACACCTCCCGGGTTGAACCACAGCTTTTTTATCCACTCATCTACTGATTGTCACTTGGGCTGCTTCCAAATCTTGGCTATTGTAAATAATGTTGCATTGAACATGGGGCCCATCTATTCTTTCCAATTATTGTTTTAGGTTTCTTCAGGTAAATTCCCAGAAGTGTTATTGCTGGGTCATAAGGCAGTTCCATTTTTTTATTTTTTTGAGGTCACTCCATACTGCTTTTCACAGTGTTCCACCAATCGGCATTCTTACCAACAGTGCACAAGGATTCCCTTTTCTCCACATCCTCACCAATAGTTTGTTGATTTATTGATGATAGTCATTTTGACAGGCGTTGTCTGGGTTTGTCTGAAGGCTCCTGTTCAGGCAGGCACTGAGGTCATGGTGTTGAATTGCAGTTAGACTTTTCTGTCCTGTTCAGATTTTTTAAAATTATTGTTATTTTCCCCCAGGTGCTTAGAGTTGAATTTGAGTGAATCAGCTGTTTGTACAATACGGTTTTCTTTGGCAGATGCTCAGTAAATATTTGTTGAGTGAATGAGAGAGATAAACAGGAGACATGGTATGGGCAGGCCTAGCAAAGGTGGCTTTCGCCTTTTTTGGAGAGCTGGCCATTGGAAGGTGTATCAGTTAATTATGGCTTATAAGAAGCAACCCCAAACAACAGCCATTTTATTGTTTCTTATGATTTTACTGGGTTGACTGAGTTCAGTTGGACAGTTCTGTTTGTTTTGCTTGGGACCCCACATGCAGTGGTAGCCATGGCTGGGATGTTTAATACATCTGCACTTATATGTGTGGCTCCTTGGCAAGGACACTGAGAGGCCTGGACCTATGAAACTCAGGGCTCCTAAAAGCACAGGCATAGATAGAAGCTGACATGGCCGGAACTGGCCCCTGAAACTTCCAGTGTAGGCCCAGACCTAGGGGTACAGCACTGTCACTATGGCCCTCTTTGGACTGAGATGACACTGAGGTTTCTCCCATGTTTTCTATTTAAAAAAAAAAAATTTTTTTTATTATTATATGTGTACATATCTTACCATTACCCCCATCCATGTTTTCTAGATCCTAGAAGACCTGCGGGAGTCTGTGACCTGCTATTACCCACAGAAGGTGTCGGCACAACTTACCCGCTTTTGTGAACAATGCAAGCAGCACAAGGGCTGCCGCTTTCTGGCAGCTCAGAAGGATGCCTACCCCATTCTACTTGCTGTCTGGAAGCTGGCTGCAGAAGGTGACCAGGGACTTCTGCTCCAGGCTCTCAACGCCCTATCAGCACTTATCAATGGCCAGCCCGACCTCTTGGACACCCAGGGCCTAAAGCTGCTGGTGGCCACGCTGGACCAGAATGCCGATGTGGCTGACCTGACTTGCTCTGGGATCCGCTGCATACGCCATGCTTGCCTGAAACATGAGCAGAATCGACAGAGTCTGGTGAAGGCTGGTGTGCTGCCTCTATTAACTGGTGCTATTGTCAGGCACAGCCGCTGTGCCGACGTGGTCAGGGAGGCCTCTTGGGCCCTCCGCATCATGACTTTTGATGATGACATTCGTGTGCCCTTCGGCAGCGCCCATGATCACGCTAAGATGATCGTGCAGGAGAACGGAGGCTTGAAGGTGCTCATTGAGGCTGCCAAAGGTAAGGAACAGGTGAGGTAAGAGTTAGAGTCAGGGCCTAGAGCTGCTTCAGGCATAGCATGGTTGGCTCTAGGCTCCATTTGCATCTCTTGGCTTCATCCTACCTGCATGGTAGCCCTTATGGAACAGTATCCTTACTCCTAGTTGTTCCAGGGGAGCCAGCACTTACTGGCCAGGACCAAGTCCTGTGGACATGTCTAAAGCCATTTTGGGAAAGGACTCAGCTCTGTCCAACCAGATTGAGAGTGGGGAAGAGCTCCCCAAAGGGAAAACAAGGGTGTTTCTCAAAGATGGGGGAAATACTGCTGGCATTCTCTATGGCTGGTAGCAGTTTACACTTTGATTCACATTTGGCCACCAATTCTTGTGTATATATGTATTCCTAACTCCAGGGTAACCATGAGCCTGTCATGGGAGGTTGCAACACTGACATTCAGACCTCAGAGCACCAACTCCCATCCACTGCAGCCACCAAAAAAGGCCTGGCAGGTCTGGTGTACTGAAGTGCTGGAAGAATGAGTTCCCTTTCCCCACTGGCTCTTGTCTCGTCTGCCAGAGAGATGGCCTGCCTCAGTCTCCCCTCCAAACTTCTGGAGAGAGTGGAAACCGGTCTTGATCATCTTGGAAGTCAGGCTGCTTTTTTGAGGGGTCATTTGCATTTTCTTGTTTATTTACAGAAGCTCATTTTTGCCAGGGTTCTACCAGAGAGACACAACCAGTAGGATATGTGGGTATATAAAGAGTTATTGCAAGGAGCTGGCTAATGTGGGGCTTTCAAATCTGAAATCCGTGGGGCAGGATCCGACCGACACCACACTCCACAGGGGTGCATTTTCCTCCTCAGGAAGACCTGTTTCTCTGGTAAGGTCTTCAGCTGATTAGACCATCCAGGGTCCACTCCATTACTTAAAGGCAGATGTCTAGAGAACACCTCCAGGGCACATCATATTAGCACTCATGGAGAAACCGGGGCACACGAACTGACTGTCACATTAACTCGGAATAGATTATGGCTTTCCACCCCTTCTCCAGGAGAGGCTTCAGTGCAGCCTCCTCCTTGTCCCTCTGAGCTTGGTCTTCACAACTGTTCACTTCTGCTGACAACTCTCCATATGTCTTTCTACAGTTTCTGGGTTTCCTGTTATGCTTAGAAAGGTCATTCCCACCCCAAGATCATAAAAATAGTCTCGGATGATTTATTATGGCATTATGTGGTGTGTTTTATTTTTAGGTATTACCATCAGTTGGTCTGGAATTTAGCTGGGGCACGGTGAAGAGGTGGAGGGAACAGTGTCTTCCACAGCAGCCAGCAGGGGGCACTGCAGGTCCATACTGCCCATGGTGTTCACTGGGGCTCTCCTGGTTTAGGAAGCCACCCTGCCAGGCAAAGAGTGGAGCAGGATTCGAACCAGGACTGCTGGCTCAGAGCTGTGGCTGGTCCTCTGCTCCTTCTTCATCCCCACAGTTCCTCTCCCTCCCTCTCTGCAGCATTCCATGACAACCCCAGCGTCCTGAGTGAGCTCTGCAGCACTTTGTCCCATCTGACTGTTCGCAACGAGTTCTGTCAAGAGGTCGTAGACCTCGGGGGCCTTGGCATCCTGGTGGCCCTATTGGCCAACTGCAACAGCCATCAGGTGGGCATCCAGAGCTGTCTTAAAGTGCAACGTCCCCTCACCCTGATTTCAATTTGACATCGTTCTCCATGCCTGAGAAAGTCTTTAGCCTCTCAGGGAACTTGTCCCTTTGGGCTCCTGCCAACCATACAAGCCTGTATGAGAACACGCCTGGCCTGTCTGCTGATTCCAAAACCAAAATTGACCCATAAGTGGGAACTAAAGTTTTGGGGCAGATAAACCCACCCCACCCTTTCTTACTGTTCTCTAGTACCTATTTTCTACCAGGGGTAGGAGGGACAGGAGTGGGTGTTGCCAGGGCTGATAGGGCCACCCACTAAGCTGGAGAGTGGCCCACTCCTCACTTCCTGGGCTTTCCTCTCTGTATAACAAGTCAGGGACCCCTGGCCATCATTAATTCAACCCCATCACCACATGTCCAGCCTAGGGCCAGGGATCCTGGCTGCTACCAGCAATGACCTTGCTGTCTCTGACCTAGTCAGTGACAGCAGCCAGTCCAGTCAGTCACTGTCCACACTGGGCCTGCAGCCAAGGCCAAGGAGACCTGGTATTCTAATTGCTGATGTGAGCCATTGCTTCCTCTGTGGGGGTCAGGGGAGGTATCAAAGTCATTGGAACAAGATCTACTTCCCCTGCCTTCTCTATACAGTGAGTAGTATCCCAGCTGTCACATGCCGCCTTTGTGCCCCAGGGCAGCCCTAGCTGTTGTTCAGATGCTGAACAGCCTCAGACCTACCCTCGAGACCCCCTCCCACAATCCAGCAACTTAGCAGTTAGCACCTGGTGCAGCGGGAGAGGGACTGACTACACCAGGGTGTGACCCCCTTGTGCCCTCCATATAGGACCTTGTGAAGCAAGTGCTGAGTGCCCTGAGGGCCATTGCAGGCAATGATGATGTGAAGGATGCCATTGTCCGTGCAGGTGGAACAGAGTCCATTGTGGCTGCCATGACCCGGCACCTGGCCAGCCCTCAGGTACCTCCAAGGGGCTCATGAGGTGGGGCAGTGCATTTGGAATCCCAGCTAAGTCACTATATTTGTGTGATGCTCTTTCCATTTCCTCAACTAGAGATGAGGGGGAGGCGGAGGGAGAGGGACAGGAAAAATGAGGGTGAGCAAGGGGTGAGATCAATCAGGTAAGGCTAGGGTAGAGGGGGGTTTGATGAGTGAGAGCCAGGGTAAGCAGAGTGGGAAGGGAGACAGAAGAGCTTGGTTGATTTTTTGTTTTTAAATATATTTTATTGTTTTTTAACAGAGAGAAAGGGAGAGAGATAGCTATAATAGAAATGTCGATGAGAGAGAAATATCGACCAGCTGCCTCTTGCACACCTCCTACCGGGGATGTGCCCGCAACCAAGGTACATGCCCTTGACCAGAATCGAACCTGGGACCTTTCAGTCCGCAGACCGACGCTCTATCACTGAGCCAAACCGGCTTCGGCGAGCTTGGTTGATGTTTTTGTCACCCTGGTACTGTTCTTGCTATTGCTGGTCTGGCACACACCTGGACTGATAGTGTGTCTTGGGACACTCATCTGGGAAGTGGGTGATGGCAGTGGTCTGTTGGCCTGGTCTCAGCCATTCCTGTGACCCATCCTGCAGGTGTGTGAGCAGAGCTGTGCAGCCCTGTGTGTCCTGGCCCTGCGCAAGCCAGAGAACAGCCGGATTATTGTGGAGGGCGGTGGTGCTTTGGCTGCACTGGAGGCGATGAAGGCACACCCGAAGGAGGTTGGTGTGCAGGTGGGTACAGAAGAAGTAGGAAAGGCAGAAGCCCGGCATGTAGGTGACGGGCCAATTGGAGGCCCTCCCAGTCCCTGTCCCCATTCCCATCATGGTCCAAGCCTTGTAGATTCCTATTCCCAGCTCCTATAGTTCTGCAGCTACATGCCATCCTCCAGAGTGTATTGTCCCTGCTCCTTTATTCTGTGTTGATCTTTCCTTATAGGCTCTTTATGAGGATCTAGGAAGGAGGAGGGGATGGGGGAGAACAGATGGGGCTCTGCTGGGATTTGGGGTGGTTCTGTCCGCCTCACTGGGGAGTCTTCAGGGCTGAACTAATATATACTGAGCCATGTGTACACTGTGGCCTGAAACTCACACTCCTTTTGCAGCCCCTGGTTCTCCCACCTCACATGCACCCCAGCACTGGGGCCTCCTCATGATCCTTAGCTACCCCAGGCTGTGGTTCCTATAGGGCCTTGCTCTCCTGGCCCTTCCAGGTCAACATGCCCTTGTCCTTTTCTGACCACCCTGGCTAGGAGCCCCCACACTTCACCTACTCATCCCCTGGTGGAAGAAGCCTTGTTGGGGTGCTTCTAGGTAGCCACACATGGCAGATATGCATGGTATTCTGAAGGAGTACCAATGTAATTGACAGATAGGCTCTGTGCACACCCCCTCTTTTCTCTATCTTGCTGCCCTCTTCCTCTGGGACCCCTGCCAGACTCTGTGAGACTGAAGATCCATACCTCAGGGATCAGCCCCACCTGCTGAGCCTTTGGCCACTCTGGGAAATGGGGGATTAGCCATGCCTTGGGCTGTGGAGATGAAGTGAAGGGATGCATCTGGCCTGATGAGTCATAGCATAGCACCCACCAAATTCTGGTTGTGGTCATCATTGTGTTAGGAGATAAGCCCAAGGTCAGAGTGGATCCTACCCTGGGACCTCAAGCACCATCCGACAGCCTTCATCTTCTCTTCTCCCTTCTAGAAACAGGCCTGCATGTTGATCCGAAACCTAGTGGCCCGCAGCCAGGCCTTCTCTCAGCTCATCCTGGACCTGGGGGCCGAAGCACTCATTGTGCGGGCCCGTGCTGCTCACCAAGATTGTGAGGACGTGGCCAAGGCAGCCTTGCGGGACCTGGGGTGCCATGTAGAGCTCCGAGAGCTGTGGACCGGCCAGAAGGGCAACCTGGCACCATGACCCAGCCTCCTTCTAGATTGCGACTCTGGGTGAGTCGTGTGACTCAGGAAATGGGAAGATCCATGTCCTGACATTCTGCCTCCCAGATTCCTCTCCCAACTCAGTCAGAGCTATTTCTGATGGGTACCAGCTACAAGCTTGGGAGTGCAAAGGGAGCATTGATAAGGCATCTACACTGGGTCTTGTGCTCCCATCACCAGCCAACAGTGCTGGTATTACCCATCCTGACCCCTCCCACAAGCCCTTTCCTACCAGAAGGACCTTCTCAGCATTGCTTGGGGTGAAGAGCTATCTGAAATTTGGCAGACACACTGGCCAGTCTCAGAGTGGGGTAGGGATCTCGCTCCTGCCTCTTCAAGTCCATTCTTGCCTTGCTCCTGTTTTTCTCACCTGTAAATGGGTCAAAGACACCTTGCTCTCCTGGCCAGAGGGCAGGGACTGAGGCTGGTCCATCTCTGGAGCCCCAGGCCAGCCATTCCTGTGTGGTAATAAAAAGACCTTGCTTGCCCTGGACTGTGTGGCTCAGTTGGATGAGTGTTGTCCCATATACCAAAAGGTATAGCTGGTTCAATTCCCTGTCCAGTAGGGGTGTGTTTTTCATCGATAATGTTTCACTCTCCATCTCCCTTCCTCTCTCAAGTCAATAATTAAAAAAAATATATTATTTTTAAAAAAGACATTTGACTAAAAAATGGAGGACTCTCTTCCAGGGTCCTTATGCAGGAGTATGGGGCTATGCAGCCAATAGTCTCAGATAATGGGAGGAGTGGACGTTTGGACAGGCCATGGGCTTGCTGAGGAAAGCGAAGAGGTTTTGAGAACAGCTTGGGATATAGGATCTTATGTTGCTTTCAGACAGGCAGATTGGTGGGGCACAGTTGGCATGAGCCTGGGGTTTGCAACCACCTAGGTTGCTGCTTCTGAGTGTGCATCTCCTTGGGGAGCTGAATTGCTTAGCATCCAACCCCAACTCAACTATGTGGACTGCAGTAAGTGATGTAACCTCTCTGAGCTTTGATTTGATCTCCATAAAACAGGGAGTGTGTGTATGAGGGGGTGGGGGGATAGAGAGCTCACCTCAATGTTGGAGCAGAGCTGAGACATGGGAGGTGCCTGATTGTCTTAGCTTCACCTTGGTCACCCAGGAGGACACTCCTGCACTCCCCCTCCTGACTACATTGAGATCCTTGCTTGCTAAGTGGCTCGGGCAGCCTGCCTTCTCTCTCTGAATCTGTTTCCCCATCTGTAGGATAGACATCACTTTTGGTACCCTGATGCCCACTACATCTCCAAAGAGTTCTTGGGTCCCCAGGCGCTGGTGCCTGGCAGACCCCAGCTTTCTCTGCAGTCACACTCAGGGGGCATCTTGTGGTCATCTGGCAGCTCATGCATTCCTTTTTTTTTTTTTTCTTTTCTTTTTTTTTTAATGGCTCCAGCACCCAGGGACCGAGAGAGGTTTTATTTTAATATATTTTTAAATATATTTTATTGATTCTTCACAGAGAGGAAGGGAGAAGGATAGAGAGTTAGAAACATCAATGAGAGAGAAACATTGAGCAGCTGCCTCCTGCACACCTCCTACTGGGGATGGGCGCACAACCAAGGTACATGCCCTTGAACGGAATCGAACCTAGGACCCTTGAGTCTGCAGGCCGGTGTTCTATCCACTGAGCCAAACCGGATAGGGGAGCTCATGCAGTCCTAATGGCCTGGTCAGAGTCAGAGTAACCTCAAGACCCTGGTGGGCTCGGAGAACACTCCTCTACTGGTCATTCACTTCCCCTAGCCTGAGGGGGGACTCATTTCCACTCTTGACATCAGTTCAAGCCCTTTTTCCAGAAGGCTCCTGGTTTCCATGGAAATTGGCTAATACAAATAGCTGTGAGGTCAGCATCCTGGCTGCACCTCTTTGTGGTGTCCAAATCTCCCTGCCCCCAGCTGGACGAACCCTGCCTGCTCATTTGGGCTGACATGACCCTCTGCCCCAGTACCCTGCCCTAATCTCCCCTCACCAGGGACTTGGCAAGGGTGTAGAAGGATCCCTGCCTGCTCTAGGTTGCCCTGACTTTGATTTCTGGTTCAGCCAAATATGTGACCTTGGGACAGTCCTGTAACCAGCGAGACAAGACTTCAATTCTTATCTACTTGAAGGAAATATTTCAAGCAAGAGACACAATGCAGCAAAGCAAGCAAGAATTTGTTGGCTGCAGCAAAAACACACTCAGGACAGTGAAACAAGGAAGGATATAGTAGAAGCAACAGGAGGGTCTAGGCTGGGCTGCTTTGGCTCCCTGGGAAGTCAGAAAAGGGGGCCCTGGAGACAAGTTCAGGGAGTTTGCCCAGCACCAGCTGCTGCTGCCCATGCTTCCCTGGTTGCAAATCTTGTGGGGTCCCTTAGAGTTTAGGGAATATGTGCCTGTGGAGGAAGGAGAGGGGGAAGGGAGTGGCACAGGCATGCTTCTCTTGAGGAGAGCATGAGTTGGGTCCTTTGCATTGAAGGTATTTATCTCTTGCAGGTGGGAATCTTAGGCGCGGTCTCTGGGGAGGCATTCATCAGCTTTCCAGGTGTGCTCTTCCAGGGTCCTGTCACCACTGATAGTTGGCACCTGGGCAGGGTATCAGAAGTCAGTGCAGCTGGTCCTGAGGCAGCCATGGTGTCACTTGTCTGATTTTGCTGCCATTGTGAGCTGCGAGCTGAAATACAACTGAGGCCTAGATGTTATCTTTTTTTTTTTTTTTTTAATATATTTTATTGATTTTTTACAGAGAGGGATAGAGAGTTAGAAACATCGATGAGAGAGAATCATCGATCAGTGCCTCTTGCACACCCCCTACTGGAGATGTGCCCGCAACCAAGATACATGCCCTTGACCAGAATCGAACCCGGGACCTTTCAGTCCGCAGGCTGACGCTCTATCCACTGAGCCAAACCGGTTTCGGCTAGATGTTATCTTTAAGAAGGAAAAGGTCAGGGGGTCTAAACCATATGACTAGCCATATGCAAGGGAAGGAAAGGTTACCTTGGGGGTGAGGTGGTCATTTTCCTAGTTTTGCCCCTTGCTAGGCACCCAGGGCTTTTGGTCTTGGTGACCTCCTGTACCTGAACCATTATCCTTGCTCTGCTCACGTCTGTCTAAATGCCTATAACACTGTGACCTTGGGGAGTCCTCAAGCCCTGTAACCCTTATGTTACTTCATCTGTCACATGGTCAGGAGTGGGGTAGGGGTGAGTGGAAGGGTGGATGTTGCCAGCCAGTTTCTGAGGAAGCCTGAGTGCTGCCCTGTGATTCCTGCCCCAGATCAGCTCTCAGTCTGCTTGTGGCTCCCCATTGGCCTCCCCATAAAACCAAACCACTCCAGGTCCTGCTCACTCCCACCCTCATCTTCCTCATGCTCTCCTTTAATCATGATTTCAGCCACACAGCCCTCTTCACCTCAGGGCCTTTGCCCTCCTTTTGGAGTACCCTTCCTTCTGTCCTCTCCCTTTCCCAGTCCCATCGTCCCTTGTGCTATGCCTCTGACCTCTGACACTATCTGAGGTCCCCTTGTTTTTATGTTTTCCTGTTTGTCCCCCACTCTGTGTGAGTAGGCTCCTGTCTTCCTTACTCTGCTCCAGCTTGTGTAAACATTTCTGAACATACACCTGAGTAAGTGAATAAGTACATAGGGCAGTTGGAGAGGAGGCCTCCCGCACAGCCGAGGGCCCATTCCTGGGCTCTTTGCCAGCTTTTCTACAGCTTCAAGCCTTTTGGGGCTGGGTGGCTCCCGTTTATCAGTTCTTCCCACCTTAGCCAGAGGTAATGGGTGTCTTCAGGGGGTTCACTTAGGGACTGTTTAGATGTCCTCAGCCTGGTTATCCCATGTCCAGCTGAAGAACCACATTTCCCAGAAGTTGGCCATGCCTAGATTCTAGTCTCTGCACTGCCACCTTGGCCTTGGTTAGCCTTGGCCGACTCAACTGAAAACGGACTGTTTGTCATAGCACTGGGCCATAGCTCCCTGCAAGGCCCAGCACAGCACCCTCCCTCCCCAAGGAGTACTCCATGACCTTGCTGATGACATCAGAACGTGGGCTGAGGGCCAAAACTGGTTTGGCTCAGTGGTAGAGCGTCAGTCTGCGGACTGGAAGGTCCCAGGTTCGATTTCGGTCAAGGGCATGTACATTGGTTGCAGGGACATCCCAGGTGGGAGGCATGCAGGAGGCAGCTGGTCGATGTTTCTCTCTCATGGATGTTTCTAGCTCTCTATCCCTCTCCCTTCATCTCTGTAAAAAATCAATAAAATACATTAAAAAAAAAAAAAAAAGTGGGCTGAGGGGTACATGACTGCAAGGGAGGTGCCAGCATGTCTGGGCTGTGCCTCTGTTGCTGGTGCTCTTGGATGAGTGGTTGGACTCTCAGAGCCTCTGAGAGACTGAGATTGCCTTGAGACCAGTCAGACGTGGCTGTAGTCACTATCGTGTCCCTTGGTTGTAAACATTTCTGAGAGGCATAGCCTGTGAACCCCATTTTTCCAGATGAGAAATAGACTCACTGGCATTTGGAGAGCCGAAGCAGGATAAGAACCCAGCTCAGCCTGCCTCTGCCACTCCTCTGTTGCTAGTGTTGCTAACCTGACCTAACCTGGCTCTCTGATCTCGGTTGATTAAGCCTTGTCCCTAAGCCTAGTTCATTGCTGGTGTGAAAGATGATTCCTGGGATCCCAGAGAAGTAGAGGGAACTAGGGGACAAAGAGGGAGTGGCCTGCCCAGGGCCAGCGAGACCAGCTCAGAAGATCTAGCATCCTGAGCATGCTGGCCAGTCACAACCAAGGTGCCCATGGTGGGGTATCTATCAGTTGCTGATGCCAAGGGGCTTTGCCTGTCATTGTTGGAAGGGTAGAGGAAGGTTGGCTGGTGCCAGCTTGCTGACAAGCAAACAGAAGCCAGAGCACAGCCAGTATTTCTGGCACTAGAAGGAGCAGCTGGGTGCTAGGATGCTGCCTGACCCTTGCCTCAGTTGGCACTGTCCCTGGGGAGCACCATGGGACTTTCCAGGAGCTTGCTGCTTCCCTCACAGAGCTTGGCAGATGGATACTGTGAGGACTCCTTCAGCATTAATTTCTCCCTCTTCGGGTGGCAGATTACACTCATGGTTGGTCTATATCCACATTCCATAAAGGGCTATTTATAAAAAAGGAAACAGAGTCCCTAAGAACAATTTGTCCATCACAGATGCTCAATGAGTTCTCACTGCAGACCAATGCATTTGAGTTTGACTTCAATTTATTAATGCTGCCATCAACCCTGGGAGTTAGTTGGAGAAACTGAGGCAGGGAGTTTAAGTCACTTGCTGAAGATCCTGTGGCCAGCAAGTCAAAAAGAACAGGAATCAAACCCAGCCCTGCGCCTTCCAGCAAGGAACATTTGTTACATGAGGTTAGGTTTTCTTGTCTGCAAAGTGGGCACTGTCACCCCCATCTGGAAGGCATGTGACGTGGTGTTTGGGAAAGCCTGGCAAGGACCTGACACTTCA